CATGTGAAAACACGCTGATTCCTGGACCGTCCGCGGGCCGGATTTAGAAGGCGATTGGGCCGGATCCGACCCCCCGGGCCATAGTTTGCCTACCCGTGGTGTGGCCCAAGGGTGAGGAACCTGGTAGTATTTGGATGTTGTTGAACTGTGACTTTCACCATCCCCTAACTCCACCTGAGGACCAGGGTTCAATTCTCCACTAGGCCATGAAGCTCACTGGGTGGCCCTGGGCTGACCTACCTCACAGGGTTGTTGTGGGGATTAAATGAGGAGCGGGGGAGAACTATGTGCTCTATCTTGAGCTCCTTGGTGAAAACGGTGGGGCAGAAATGCAACAAAACAAATAAGAAAAAATACTGGCTAGAAATGGAGTTCAAGAACATTTGGGAGACTGCATGTTCCGCATCTTTGGTGCGTGAAAAGCCCTGAGAAGCACCGACTGGAGGCAGGCAAATGGAGGGAACAAATTAAGTCAGGGATGGAGAAACCTGTATCCCTCCAGGTGTATTTAGACTCCAACTCCCATCAGTCCTAGGCAGCAGGGCCAATGGTCAGTGGGATGATGAAAAATACTGGGAGGGTACCATGACAAACCTAGACAGCATCTTAAAAAGCAGAGACATCACCTTGCCAACAAAGGTCCATATAGTTCAAGCTATGGTTTTCCCAGTAGTGATGTATGGAAGTGAGAGCTGGACCATAAAGAAGGCTGATCACCAAAGAATTGATGCTTTTGAATTATGGTGCCGGAGGAGACTCTTGAGAGTCCCATGGACTGCAAGAAGATCAAACCTCTCCATTCTCAAGGAAATCAGTGTGCCTGAGTGCTCACTGGAAGGACAGATCCTGAAGCTGAGGCTCCAATACTTTGGCCACCTCATGAGAAGACTCCCTGGAAAAATCCCTGATGTTGGGAAAGATGGAGGGCACAAGGAGAAGGGGACGACAGAGGACGAGATGGTTGGACAGTGTTCTTGAAACTACCAGCACATGAGTTTGACCAAGCTGCGGGAGGCAGTGGAAGACAGGAGTGCCTGGCGTGCTCTGGTCCATGGGGTCACGAAGAGTCGGACATGACTAAACGACTAAACAACAACAAAGCACAATAAAGCAGTTGCCTGCACGAGAGCCACCCTTTGCTCACAACAGATAAAACGATCATGCAAGGAGTTTCCTTTCGTTTCCCACATTCAGGGCAAACAACAGCCTGCGTCCTAGTTACTGTACACATTACTTTGGGCTGCTACGGAGATGTACCAACCAGTTGCTGGAAACAGCAGGCTCCAGGTACGCAGCCAAGACATTGTCCGAGAAGCGAACACAAGTTCCAGAGCTGCCTCCCCTGCCTAATTTATTTTCCTAAATCCTTATTATCTATGCTTGCGAAACTGCTGATATCCAAGACACACAGACCCAGCACAATTACAGCAGGTGATGGGAAGGCAGAAGATGAGAGCAGCACCTTCGCCTGTGGGCAAGGGAGGCACTTTGATCTTGCAGGGAATTTTATTTACTTCTTACGGCACACTCCGTTCTTTCGAGGCTCCCTAAAGGTGCAAGGAGATGGGACTGTTCCACTTTCTGGTTAGTTTGTTGGTGATTACATGCATACCTCATGCAAGCATACTGTGCGTGGTTTTTTTAAAAAGGACACATATTTTTTCAGACAAGCAACGTGGTCTGCCGTGAGCTCCTCTGACTGCAATCCCTCCCCACAGGCTATGGACCTGATCTAGACAGCTTCACAAATACTGAAGGATGAGAGAGTCACTGGCATCCATCAAACCGTTGAAGTTAGAGCTCCTGGTGTGATTTTAGAGGTCTATATGGGAGAGACAGGTTTTGTTGCAGTTGGGGCAGATGAAATGCACCATGGCATTTCTTCTCTACACTCCTCCCAGCGGTAATTCATCCTCTGGTCACTGTCAGGAGCTCGTCCTACTCTCGAGTAGGACCATGACAGACACACATGCCCGACTGGCATGTTCTCTCCCTCCTGGTCAATTGTTCTGGAGCTTCAAAAGCTTTCTTCTGCCCAAACATCACAGCGACCGATGCCAACAGACATCGGCACACTTAGGGATCCGCAGCTTGCGTGACAGACCTCAGCAACTCAGCATTTTGGCTAATCTACTTTATTTACATATAAACACACACAGAGCACTGCAACATGGCTCTCTCTCTCTCTAGGATCAGACAGCAAAGAGAAAAAGAACAAAGGGCAATAGTCCCACTTCACGGAACACAGTAACACAAACATCCTGTCTCTGTCACTTCCCACCTTGTGGAGTCAAAACATACACCGTCATGTGATAGACAAAAATCCCATGACTGCAATCATGGTGCAGGAATTCTAACATCACTGCTATGGATACACAACCTGACTGTCTTGTCTCCAGGCGGTCGTCTGCAAGGGATTCCCACATGGCGGGGATGAAGTTGCCAGTCCTCCCATTACATTTGCAGTAAAGGTAAAAGGACCCCTGACCATTAGGTCCAGTTGTGATCGACTCTGGGGTTGCAGCGCTCATCTCGCTCTATAGGCTGAGGGAGCCGGCGTACAGCTTCCGGGTCATGTGGCCAGCATGACTAAGCCGCTTCTGGCGAACCAGAGCAGCGCACGGAAACGCCGTTTACCTTCCCGCCGGAGCGGTAACTATTTATCTACTTGCACTTTGACGTGCTTTTGAACTGCTAGGTTGGCAGGAGCAGGGACGGAGCAACGGGAGCTCACCCTGTCGTGGGGATTCGAACCGCTGACCTTCTGATTGGCAAGTCCTAGACACTGTGGTTTAACCCACAGCGCCACCCACGTCCCATACATTTGCAGACATCTATGTAAAACAGTGCTGGTCTGCCAATGGGCCTGGTGCCGAAAGCCAGCTCCCCATAGAGCACATCCTTGGCGGATCTTGCTGTCTTCCATTCTGTGAACATGACCAAGCCAATATAGGTGTCGTTGAGAGGACTGCAAACATGCTGGGAATGTGGGCTTTGAGGAGCACATCTGTGTTTGAGACTCTGTCCTGCCACGTGATGCTCAAAATATTCCTGATGCAGCATATGTGGAAGGCATTGTGGCGTTGTAACCCAGCAATATCAGGAGGGACACAAGCTCCTCAACCCTGATGTACGCTGACAGGCGGCTACCTCTAAGATTCAGATAAGAATCTTTCCCAAGATGCCAGGGACTGAACCTGGGATCTATTGCATGCAAAACATTCCTGAGATGTGTTGAGAAATGGCATTTGGCCCAAGGTCACCCAGGAAGTTTTGTGCCCGAGTTGGGATTTTAATCTGGGTTTCCTTGGACCTTGTCCAAGCACTCTTGAACACTTACACCATACAGGCTCTCCACATAACCACTCTGGGAAGGAGAATGCATGTTAAATAGTTTCAGCTAGCATATGGGCTGCTCTTGGGAAAAGCAGAAAGGCCCCAAACCTCAACAAACAAATGCAGATGAGACATTGTACAGTGCTGCTTGGTTATTGAACAGCATAACAAGGCTTGTTCAAATCCACACTGAATATTTCATTTGCGGGCAGAAGCTTTCAACGGATTTGAGAAGTGCTTTGGAGAATGAGGGACGTGCCATATGGAGCATTCACATTTTTCCGCCCTCACGATCGGATCCACCAGGCTACATTCAGAATAAAAGAGCAAATGACTAAGGCAACCAGGTGTGGTGCAGAATTATTAAAGCAAGCCAACCATGTGGAACCCTGGCTGAAAGCTTAAAGTTCTGCCACACTGTGCTTGTAAACATCAGCTGAGAACTTGGAAAACCTAGCGTTCAGGCCAGATTGTGGTGGTGGGTTTTACTTCTGAAGGTTTTTATTATCATTTTTAAAAGCATCAACTGCAATAATCTAGCACATTAAGAAAAGGTTTGGAGCCATGCTGACTGGGGTTGATGAGACTCAGGAGTCTAACAATTTCGTAAGGCCAGAGGTTCCCCACTCCTGGGCTAGACAAACCTCATTTTCCGATGTTGGTGCTTTACCATAGGCATGGGAGCATTCAAAAATGCAACCCTCCAGATGGGGACTGAAGTGGTACCACCAGAATTCGACCACCTTGGCCTAACATCCTGTTCCACATGGCATATGAAACAGCTCTGCCTTTCCAGTGCTGTTGCTTATAGTGTGGTTCCTTCTCTATCTTGCTGTTGGAGGATGACAGCTACTGGGGGAAAACAGTGGGTACTCAGAAGGACAAGATTGGAATCTGCTGCTAGCGTTTAACTGTCTTGTTTTAATTATTTACTTGTGTTTGCATCTTGCATTTTATCCTGTGAAGCACCCAGAGATCTCATGATGAAGGGCTAGGATCTAAAGCACACCTTTGGTGCATTCAGTTACGGGCAAAAATGCTGGGAGTCTCCCCATTTCCCTTCTGACCACATATCCTTATGCTGCTTCTAAGACATGGGTAGGCAAACTAAGGCCTGGGGGCCTGATCCTACTTCTGTGCATCACATTCCTCCAGCAGTTAAGACTCTTGCAATGGACAACCAAGAGACAGAAATCTGGGCCTCCCCCGCTAAATGCCCTCACAATCACCCCTGTTCGCGAGCTCCCAGGATCTGTACTGAGCTAAGTCTTGCAGATAATGATTTACAGCGAGAAGCAACACCATACTCAATGATTGCTCAAGATATGTGGAGGCTAACTGGGATGATTAGATACTTACCTTTTCAGTATGCTCAACATGAGTATTAGTATAGGGAATTATAGCAATTAAAACATGTTTGCAGCCTACAAAATAATAAATAAAATAGTTGTTTTGCCATTGACATATAGGCCAAGTTGATAATTATTATTTAAATATATAAAATAGTTGGTTTGAATTAAATGACTGAATTAAATAATTGATGTAACCCAATCTCGAAGTCGAAAAAGCTTGATAACAATCTCAGTTCTATCAACCCAGGTTTGCATTTGAGGTAATGGAGGATACCATGAGTGTGATGAGCACCGAATAACCAATATCCAATATACTTAAATGGTTTATATTTTTAATTGCAATGGGGGGGGGGGGGAGAATCACATTTTCAAATGTACAGCTGTTAGCTCTTGACAAAAAAAAAAAATCCGGATTTGATAACATTTAAGAAATTTACAGCATTTCAAAATAATAGAAAGTTAAATTCAGTATCACGACTACAGTTACAGACAGCATTTTCCCCTCTGCTGTCACACCCAGTTATCAGAAGGGCTAGTTCTGCTGTTAGAAAACATCGCAATTTCATATGAAAATTTGTTTACACTGAAATGTTCATTTACAAACAATTCTTTAACTGCTGAATCAAAGCACTGGAAGAAATACAGTGCTTTTGAATTGAAAATGAGTGTTTACAAACAGTTTGCTGTCACTTTTGAGACTCTTTTTGGTGCTGAACACTGAAAATGAGCTCCCATGTCTTCCTTTGCTACAGTATAAAATCTTAACAGTATAAATACCTGGTGGTATTCTGAAGCCAGTGGGAAAAATCAAACACCAAATTATCTTGTACAAGTCTCATTCACTGAAGGGTGGGTGGTCAGAAAGTGCCCACTGAAACTATTCCCAGTGTTCAAAGACATGACTAAGAATGTCAAAGGCTTTTTAGGTCAGCTTTTACAAATCCAGGGTGCAACATTATTCCTACATTCTTATAGCATGGATACAGAATTGAAATAGAACTCTAGACTACCATCTTTTGAGGCTTAACATACACCTTTATACATTTTTTAACTTTTTCCAAGAAAGAGATGCGAAGCTTTGCACCTGAACCTAAGTATTACATATTGTACTGCAGAAAGACAGAAATACCTGCCTTAAATCTTTTTATCTACCTCCACTCGTGTAAAGGCTTATACCAGGTCACCACTGAAATAATACAAGCTTTTTAGGTAACTATAAAGAAGGTAGTCTCAGAACAGTATTCTCCTCCTTCTCCTTCACAGTCTCATGGCTGCCAGCGTATTTTTGAGAAAAGGCTAGAAGCCATTTGTTAGTCCCAAGAGGTAATTCTGACACATCAGGCCTCTCTCAACACATAAGGATATCTGCAGATCCAAATCTCTCATGATTGATAAATGTAACTCCAGGATTCAGAAGACAGCATATGAAAAAGTTGTGCTCAGAAGTTGTAAGGCCTCACCTCACTAGGCATCTGTCAGTTTTACTTGGGAATACTGAGAAAAAGGGGTCTGGACAGTACTGATGGGGGGAAACCCCTGTTAAACACAATCCGTATTTCCAATGGTTATGGCTTTCAGCTGTATCTGCTGCTTTCACTGGGGCTTCGGTTGTTAGAATAACTGCGGTCACTTTCACTGTCTGAGCCGTAGGATCTAGAGAAAAAAAGCCAAGACACAAGTGAAGGTCTACACTGCTGAAGTGTAACATTTTCAAGTACAAAATTCTGCAGCAGTCCCCACTGCGAGCAGAGTGGCATGGCAAGGAAATGAAATACATTTCATTATGTTAAATATGCTTTCCCCCCACAAAAGCTTGCTTATTTCAAGCATGGATTTTCTCAAACTCTCAAATGGATGGAAGTTCAACTACTCTAATTAGAGGTATATTTCAGGACTCTCCCCACCCAGGTTGTCTTTGGCCAGTTTTGAACCTACCACCTAACTTGGTACACAGCCAACACCTACTTTGATTCAAAGCATCGTAAAAAAGAGGTAACAGAACAAAAAGCCTGGCGTAAGAGAGTAAGAAGGGACAATTTTTAAAATATTGATTTTCTTCAACACCCAAACATAGGGCAATTACACCTTTTCAGGCAACGTGGTGGAAAGCTGATGCGTTGGCACCATAATGAGATCTAACACTTCTCAAGGTTGTTAATGGAAAACTACACATCAGGACCACTACCGGGAATAAAAAGCAGTGATCAGGTGTTCTCAGAAACATTTAGACAGAATATGAAGACGCTTGTGTCACCTCTCAAGTTCAACAGCTGTCACCAAAGGTAACCTATTTTGCTGTGTGTACTAGCTACCAATAAAAATCAAATGTAATAACCTAGTTCTTTGTTCTTCTATGAGTCCAGTGAGGCAGAGTAAGTTCTGAATCAGTTATGGATTAGATGTGAGCTAACAAACTGAAATCTAATTGAGACAAGACAGACGTGTCTTTGTTCAATAGGAGAGTTGATCTGTTTTGGCTATTTTGATCACGTGTGTAGCCTGGGATCCCCTGGGGTGCAACGTGGTAGTTGTAGCTAGAAGGACCCTTCCACCACTATGGTTTCTGGAGAAAGTAGATATGGCCACTGCTCCACAAGCCTTGGTTAGATGCAGAGTGGCTTACTTGTAATACACTCTACTAGGTGAGGCATTCTGAAGTGTGAAGTGTTTGGACACTTCAAACTGTTGTCACTGGAATATGTGATCACACTAGCTTCACAGTGGAACATGTGATCACATTACTAGTTTTTGGGTACAGTCTGAGGCGCTTATTACTGTCAAAGCCCTAAATGACTTGAGTTCAGGTGACAAGGAACACCTCTTCTAATAGGAAACAGCTCGCCTGTTAAGGTAATTAGAAATGATCTTGCTTTGTGTTCCGCTGTTGTCACACATGTAGCCGAAGCTTGCATGGGACACAGAACTTTTCTGCAGTGACACACAACTTGTGGCACTACCAGGCTTTTGGTATTGGGTAGCTATGTTGCCTTGGTACTTTACTTTTGCTCTACTGTTCTACTATTAATGGTTTTGGACTTTTAATATTTTACTGTACTCTGATTTATATTGTTTTGTTTTATATAATAATTATGTTTGGAGCCCTTGGGTCGCTCCTATTTTTGTGGAATTTTGGCAACGGCACAAGATTCGTAAACGATTCACATTACTCCTAGGGACACAAGTAGTTTGAACAGAGAAGGTGAGAGGCAAATGTCATTTGCATTTGTCTATAGTAAGTTCCTCAGTCTAGCTGCCAAAAACCACATACCTGGACCGTCTGTCATAACTGCGAGATCTGTGGTAACTGTCACTCCTTTTGCTTCTACTTCGGCTACGGCTCCTGCTGTAGTAACTGTCATAGGTATAGGACCTGCTTTTATGGGTGAAAAACCAAGCAATGACTTACTTTGTTTAACACTGAATCTCCCTCAATAAACTTAGAGGCATCAAAGCTTTCTTATTCACAGAAAATATATCTGGATTAAATACAATATGCTAGAGAATTAAAAACTAAACTCAAATGAAAAAAAAATCTATAAAAGGCACCCATTCAATGTAGCTATGTTTTCCATTATTCTCTTTCAATTTTGAAGTGAAAAAAGCCTGTTTAGAAAAGTAAGCCACAGCACCTTATTATCAATGCATCATTTAAATTTGCTGTTACTAACCCATTATATACTGGAGTCATATTTAAAAAATGATCTCTTAGCATACCTTGATCGACTGTGGTGATCGTAAGAGCTGCTTCTGGACCGACTTCTACTATAAGTGCGACTATTAAACAAGAAAAGAATGACATGACATTTTTAAACTGTAAGAAAGTTTCCCGGTATTGTGCTTGCTTATTTTGCATTAAAGCCAGTTATAACTATTTCCCCAAGTGACAAAATATGTGTTTATTTTTAAACCATACTAAATCTACAGAGTGCCTCTGGTAAGAAACCAAACGAGGCTTCAAGCAGATTTTTACAGGAATTTATTCTCTTCTCTCCAGCACTTCCCCTTCCCTTTTGCTGGTACTAACCTGTGGCTCCTGCAACTGTCGTAAGAACTACTTCGACTTCTTGAGTGGCCTCTGCTGTACCATCCTCTGCTCCGGCTTCGTGTGTAACTCCGTGACCTAGAGATTTCAAGTGCATGTACTTAAAAGCTGTGCAAAGTAAGGCCCAGCTAATCACAGGGGTTCGTTTTATGGTTTTCAGAGCACACAACCAATATGCTAGCCCCATTGAGAACGAACACTGAAATAGCCTACGGGTATCAGGAAGGAGCCTTCACTGCACTCTTTTCGACACATGCTAAAAACATATTTGTTTGCACAAGCCTACGCAGATACCTCCCCTTCATGGATCACTGCCTTGTCGTGGCGAAGGGGCTTGAATAACTCAGAGAAGCTATGAGCTATGCCGTGCAGGGCCACCCAAGACAGGCAGGTCACAGCGGAGAGTTTAGATTAAATGTGATCCACCTGGAGAAGGAACTGGCAATCCACTCCAGTATTTTGCCAAGAAAACTCCATGGACATAAAAAAGGAGAAGCTTTGAGAAGAAAGTGAGTTTCCAAAGCGTGCTCTGGTTCATGGGGTTACGGAGAGTCGAACATGACTAAGACGACTAAACAACAACAACGTAGATGCCTACAATGCTGATATGGTTTCGGTTTATTGCAGGTTCTAGTTTTCTGAACAATTTAATTGTTTTTATTAACAATTGTTGGGACGCGGGTGGCACTGTGGGTTAAACCGGAGCCTAGGACTTGCTAATCAGAAGGTCGGCGGTTTGAATCCCCGCGACGGGGTAAGCTCCCGTTGTTCGGTCCCTGCTCCTGCCAACCTAGCAGTTCGAAAGCTCGTCAAAGTGCAAGTAGATAAATAGGTACCGCTCCGGCGGGAAGGTAAATGGCGTTTCCGTGCACTGTTCTGGTTCACCAGAAGCAGCTTAGTCATGCTGGCCACATGACCCGGAAGCTGTACGCCGGTTCCCTCGGCCAATAAAGCGAGATGAGCGCTGCAACCCCAGAGTCGGCCACGACTGGACCTAATGGTCAGGGGTCCCTTTACCTTTACCAATTGTTATGTTTTATTCTTTGCCATCATTTCATGAAAGAAATACAGGCAACTGAGCGTTTGCGTGCACTTAAGGCACGCACTACTGACATGCATGCCATTTTTGACACTGTAAGGGGGAGGAACAGGGATGGAACGGGCATATGTGCATCCCAATGACTGTCCATAAATAGCTATGCCTATTTGTAAAATGCAAGTAATTCTACTTACCTGTAAGAAGAGGTGGAACTTCCTGATCGACTTCTGGAGTGACTGTAGGAATGGGATCTTGCTCTGTGCCTGGATTTGGGGTCCGACTTGCTTCGTGACCGGCTATGGCTCCTTGACTGGCTGTTTTCCCGTGTGGGAGAATCCTCCTCGCTAGAGCTCTCGTGGTTCCTCGGTCTCCGATTCAGCCGGGCAGTCTTCCTAACTTCATCAAACAGAGAGCCTGGTCTAATTTTGTTTTTGCTTTTAATTTCTATTCTTAAACCTTGTGGCTTTGACTCAGACGACGAGGCCACGCTTTTGGCTTCGGAAGGATTACTAGCAGCTGCCGGAGCTGCAGGCTGCAGGTTCCCTACTCCCTGTAACGGTTTCCATTTATTATCAGCTATGCTGCTCTGAGGGTTTTCCACCAGCTCAGTCTTCAGCACACTTTCCACAGCAGCAATGGTTGTGACAGGCTTAGGTCTTTGTTTCTCTATCTGTGTGCTGCCTTCTTTGCTACCAGTCAATTCTCTAGCATCAAGTCCTGGTTTTGCACTCTCTGCTTCAGAGCTGCTTGGCACATCTGTGCTCTTACTAACTTTAATGTCCTGCAGGTTCACCTTCAGACTTACTGGAGAAAGTTCCACATCAACCTTCATGGGCGAATTATGCTCGGGAGTACAAATCTCCATGTCATCCATCTGGGTAACATCCACCTCATTTTCATTATTTACTTTGGCAGCACCAGTGCTTTCTGAAATTTCCGTATTTTTTTCTGAATTTAGAGCATGTGCTGATGTTGCCTCTTCCCCATTAACTTTACAAATGTTCTTAACAGCAGGTGATGTCTGGCCTCCAGTTTTATTCTCTTCACTGAGCTTTTTGTCATTCTCTGTTTGGTCTTGGAGCATTTTATCGTTTTCAGAATCTTGATCCTGCTTTTTATCTGTTTTTGTCACGACTGGCTTCTCTCTCTCATCCTTGGTGCGTGGCTTTACAGCGATGTCCTCTTCCTCCTCCTCCTCTTCTCCAAACTCCAGAGGCGGCTGCCAGTGAAATGTTTCCTTTCGTTTTTGGGCCTTATGCTTCTTTTCTTTTTTACCCTTGGATTTCTCCTTCGCTTTTTTGGAATGTGTCTTTTTGAGGTTCTTTTTGGAGCCACGTTTTTGCTTTCTGGATTTCCCCCTGGCCCCTGAATAGGAATGGGAGCTCTCCGTCTCAGAAGGGGAGAACTGCTTGCTTGTCTTGAGTGTACCTGAGGAGGAATCCAACTTTGTCTTGCACTTGGCGAGGCTGAGATCTGTGTCAGAGTCTGATGTGGCTTCACCTTCTTCCTTGCTAGAAGACAATCTTGAATCTTCCTTAGAGTTCCTGTTTCCGCCTCTTTCTGAATTTGATTCAGAGTCCCACTTACTATCGGCACGCGTTTTCCTTTTTGCTTTTCGACCGCTTCTTGGGGAGCTCAGTTTCTCCCCCAAAAGTCGTTTTTTTGAATGGTCACTGCCCCACTCAGACCCGGGCTTTTCTTCATTCCCATCGCAAGCAGAGCTGCTTTTCTTTCGCTTCCGGCTTGCTTTTTCTTGCTGCAATGGCCCTTTTTCCTGCACTGGCTGTGGTTTTGTCACCTGCTCACTATCCGTGGAGAAGTCCAGAGAGGATCTACTCACACTCTCCCTGTGCTTCTGAGAAGCCGCATCTTTTGCATACAGAAGAGTACTTTCAGAACTGCTTTGTCTCTTCTTTGACAAGTGCCCACTTTCTTTTGTTTTGCTTTTCTGTCGTTCATCCTCACTTAGAGAAAAATAAGATGACGACCCACTGTAGCACGACCGGTCACTGGGGAATTTATGCACTGAATGGGATCTAACAGTTGACCGAGATCTTGAGCTGGATGGACTTCTTGATCTGGAGTAAGACTTGGAGTAGGATCTACTTCGAGATGTCCTACTCCTCGACCTTCGCCAACTCTCTGAACTTCTATCACTGTGATTTTTTGAATAATTACTGCGGTCACTATCTGAACTTTTTCGCCGCTTCCGGTATGAAGAGGATGTGCTTGCATCTTTGACACTTGCTAAACTGTAGGTAGTCTGAGTAGGCATCAAGTGAGTGGTCTTTGCTTTCATTTCCTGAATTCGCTCATAGGATGGTTTCCAAGGCTTTTGCCCAGGTTTCCATCTAGAAGGCGGAGGACTGTCACTAAGCGATATGACTGGAATGCTTTCGGCAACAACGGGCTGTATCACAACTTTGTCATTTTGTGGCAATGCTGCCATGACAGGTTCGACAGCAACAGGCTTCAATTCATTTAAACGAGCTGCGACATTTTTTGGTGAACTGGACCCCATCTTCAGATGCTTGGAACTGGACCTAGATCTTGATCTGCTCCTAGACTGAGAAGACTTAAAAGCCATTCTTGACCTAGAACTTCTTCTGGAATAAGATCTGGATCTGGTTCTGGACCTGGTTCTAGACCTGTAGTATGACCGGGAGTCCCTGCTTGACGGGGACAATGAGCTCTGCTTATCTCTATCAGATTTAGACCAGTCCCTTCTGGAGGAGTCATCTCTAGAAGAAAGTGAGGAAGAGCGGGACACCCTCTCCCGATCACAAGGCGATTTTGTCCTTCTAGCAGAAGAACGGGAAGATTCTTTCTCTGTTGAAGTAGATAACCTCTTCTTTTTAATTTGCTTCTGCTTCTTTAAGTGTTTTTGCTTTTTGGCCTTCTTTTTGTGCTTTGCCTTTTTCTCTTTCCGGTGTTTCTTGTGGTGGCGACCGTATTTAGCACTACTTAGGTCAGAATAACCATTATGTGACCATGACCTTGACCTCTGAGACAGACTTCTTTCATCCCACCTTCCTGGGTCACTCAACCTAAGAAAAAAATGAACAAAGTGTTTATCTGTATCTTGTGAGCACCCTGAGATCTTTGGATGAAATATAAACTTAAATTAATTAATTAATTGATTAATTAATAATAAGCATTTCCTTGACTATGCTTGCTTGGCTTCTAAAGTTCTCTAGCAGAGTTTTCAGGATCCATACAGCGTGGGTCTAAAGACCTGGGTACATGATCTGCAGATGCCTGGAAGTACTGGGCTGGTACAGCCATCTTCCTACAAAGGCCCTCAACAATTAGCGCACATGAAATTGAGAGCAGTATCTCTACCTCAAGTAAAGAAAACCAAAATGACAGAACTACATCTGAGTGGATAAACAAAGCCTCAGTTCACATGCCTCAAAGGAGTTGCTCAAATATGATCCAACAAAATTGTGTTAATACTCAGGAACATGTCCTCAGAGCAACTAACTTCGCTGACTGTTCAGATGAATCAGGGTTTTTTGCATAAGTGTGTATCCATGGAATTCATTCCAAAAGCAGTCCCATGGGGGAACATTGTTAAAGCTACGATGGTTGTTCACTGGGAATGAAAACAGCCCGGAGGGTGGGGCAAAGGAGCTTCACAAAATGCAAATAAGCAAAGTTTCATGAAACATATTTTGGGGCAAACTCAACAGATTTTCATAAACAAAAAATGTTCCATTTTAGCATTATTTTTAGCCTGTTCATATAGTTCTTTTACAATGCAGCCCCGAACTGTTTTAATACTCAAGAAGTTTCTGCAAGTGAGTAAGATTAACATATGTCGCCCTGTTCCAGATAACAGGATGTAAACTAGACGCAAAGCACCCAAGTAAAATTTCCCTACCCAATCAGCCCTACTCTCTTATTTGTAGCCATCTAAAAATAAACTCTCTTACCAGGTACAAAGCCTATCTAAACTGCGGTGCAATAGATGCCTTACAGAATCTGCTATTACCACTCTCTTTATTCATCTTGTGCCTATATGTAATTGACTGACTATTTTAGGGGACAAGAATAATTTAAGAGAGCTAGTCTTACTTGTCTCCTTTACTCCATTTTTCTCCACTGGGTGGCCTATAGGCTCTTAACCTCTGCATTTCTTCTTTCCAGTGTGGCGGAGTTTCACTGCTCTCATCATTATCAGATTCTGAACACGAGCGAGAACGAGGTGGTGTATGGTATCGCTAGAAAAATACAACAGCAGAAGCAGAATTGTATACAAAATCCGTAATACAGTAGCGCTCGTACACAATTATCAAGGCTTATCCACGATTAAAAACAAATATCTGGGGGCAACCGTATACTGAGCCTATTGTCAGGGACCAGTCTTGACACATATGTTACACCCAAATCTGGAGATTACTTGCAGATTTTCTGTGCAGGTAAGCAAACCTTGCCAGAGGAACTCTGCAGGAAGAGAAAATGTAGGTACAAGCGGAGACATTGTTCAACTTGGAGAAAGAGCTTTTGTGACAGGAGAACATAGAGCCCACAAGAAGCTAAACTACAGCATCTGCCTAGTGGGCTTTAAAAAATCATCTCCACTTCTACTCTTTCTGTTCTTTGCCATATAAAGGTTCTGCGAGCAACAGGCAAACACTGCAATACATTTTGATAATATTTTTCAGTTGTTTATTGCTACTCCACCTTTTGAGGTCTCACATTCTCAGCCAATTTATAATGCCTTACTATCAATCCCCATCTCCATTTAGAAGAGAAGCCTATATCACTATTTTTTGTTTTGATTCAGTGCTATTTTTATATGGTAACTTGTTTATTTTAAAAAGAAATTATAACCATTTGGTGTGTTTTTAGCTCCACTCATTCTTTATTCATGTTGGGAGCTGTCCTGGATCCCACACTAGGAGAAATAGAATAATACTTTGCAATTAACCTCTTCATTCCTGCTTCCGCATCCAGGGACAAGTATGAATTTTTGTATGCAAGTGGTCAGCAAACAGAGGTAGCTTTCAAACACTGGCCAAAATAAAGCTCTCATGTAAGTTACAAAGCTTGAAGGGTGGGGGAAAATATGGAAAACATACTATTGTGCCTCTCCCTCTGATTTTTCTTCCAGATTTAGATACTGAAGGCTTCTGGTCATTCAAAACCGGGGCTACATCAAGCAGCTTCCTTAAATATTAAGAATTATACAGGTATAAGGAAAACAGCACTGGCAATAATATATGTTTCTTACAGTCAAATGTTAAAGACAGCCCAAACTGAGCAAGTGACTCAAATGGCCACACACTGAATTGCATAGATTTATCTTTGCTAAGACACAGTTCAGAACCATCTGGTTGGCGCTCCCTCCCCTCCCCAAAGTTACAGAATTTTCACCCAAGGCAAATGAGTCTTTACAGCTCCTAGCTGAGAGGTGAAATCACATACTGTAAAAGCATTCCTTCATCTGGCTCCCCAGCTGGATCACCTGGACATCCAAGTTTTCACTGGGGTACCCCCAAGAAAGACGCCTCTTTAAGGAATCCAATAGAGAAGAATCTGACTCTTCCTGAAAGGAGTTTCCCCAAAGATGCTGAATTGCTATGAGACTAACCTGACCAGGGGCCTACACCACGTGGTCCAAGAATGAAATGGGCATGTAGGATTTCTTCACCCTTTGCTGCATATACCCCACTAGGTATGAGAGTAGTATCTGGGGACCAGGGTATGATGGTCAGGACATAGAGAGTTCATGATGAGGATCTTTCTAAACCAAAAGCTGGCTAACATTCAGAGAAAACAAAAACTGGAATCCCATACTTTGTGACTATTCTGCACCCTTGTCCCATTTTTTTTTAACGGCAACTGGTACAATAGCTGGCTAGATGAGACATTTCTTCCATCAAAAAATAAAGACCTTGGTTTCCTACATGTAAAATACATTTTTTTTCCAGCCATGGGAGTACACAAGCATCCCATCGAAATTCAAGCATATGAATTGCATCCCTGTAATGCTGAGGTATTATTGCAAGTTACAACGATCCTCCACTAACTCCCTAACTGCAAATACACAACTGGCTCAAGGATTGCTTAAAAGGAGCAGTCCCACAGAGAAGGAACAAATACAACAAGAAGAAAATTGCTGCATACGGCTCAGGCTCTGTATTTATAACTGGTGCGTCTCGTCTGAGCAAAAATCTGTTTTCCGGTACTGGAGGAATTTCTTCAGGACGGACCACGGGCTTGTCCCTCTTCGCATTTGAGTCCACTGCTTTTTCATTTTCTTCGCTTCTGTTAGGATGGCTGAACAGAAAGAGCAATTTAGAATACACACACACACAATTTTTGAAACCCAAATGAGAACTGCATGTGTCAGACTATAGTCTCTATGTGACAACTTTCTACATAAACTTTCCTTGCATTGTAAGCTTTTTTCAAACTTAATAACCTGATGATGAATCAAACTCCTAAACTTTTCACTTCCTGAATTTCTTTAAGTCAGCACAATTTACTTCTCCAGAAAAGCAGAGAATTAAGGCCTGCAGGTTATCTAATTCTATTCCTTTAGATAAGCAGCATTAATTTACTCGAGGGCAAAAAGTGGAATTCAAAGAGCTCCAGTAGTGACACAGATTCCCATATGGCAGGGTTTGCAATGGCTCTGTATGTAGGTTAAAGAACTAAGCAATCTGAGGGGCTCCTTCTTACCGAAGTGTGGTGTCAATAACTCTCCCCTGCTCCCCACTCTGTTTCTATGTTACTCTGTGTCATATAGTGCTGTTTCTCCTCTATTTCCATAGGTCAGGGATGAGGAAGCTTTTTTGCCCCAAGGGCCATATGCCCGTGGTGAGCAGGACCAGAGGGCAAAAGTGGGTGGAGGAATGAATGAGAGTTTTGTACTGTAGGGATGTACTGTATTTTTTGCTCCATAAGACGCACCTGACCATAAGGCACACCTGGTTTTTAGAGGGGGAATGCAAGAAAAAAAATATTATTTAAAGGGAGCGCTGATCAGAGCCTGTATGCATCCCAGGCTCTGCTTAGCGCTCCCTTTCACAAGCCGTGTGGAGCATGTGTGAGGCGCTTGCAGGCTTTCCCCCGACAAGGGCAGCATGTCACTGATGGGCTGCCCTTCTCCCTCCTCAGGGAAAAGCCCCCAAAAGCCCCACACACTCCGCGTGGCTCTCTTTTTGCTCCCGCAAAGGCCAGGGATAGCCGTGCGAAGCCTCTGCAGGGCAGCAGGATGAAGGCTCCCCGCTGCCCTGTGGCGGCTTTGTGCAGCTAAGCCAGAAGCTAGAATAGCCAGAGGGAGTGCTGCGCAGTGCTCCCTCTAGCTATTCTGGCTTCTGGGGTAGCCCGCAAAGCCTGCATTCGCTCCATAAGACGCACACACATTTCCCCTTACTTTTTAGGAGGGGAAAAGTGCGTCTTATAGAGCGAAAAATACGGTATCTTCACACATCCCTCTCTATTTTTCATTCAGACAAGTGAAAGGAATAATCAGAGTTTAGGGATGCTTTGCAGCCAAGCAAAAAACACTATGATGCAGGTTCAGTGAAGGGTGTGGCCTGGGGAAGAGTTACAGAAGCTATATATGGGAGTCAGGGGGGCATACTCAGCCCTTGGAGCTGTGGTCTTCCCTCCTGCTCCAAGTTCATGGGCTTTGCAAGAAGCGAGGCTGTCCAAAATAATAACTGCGGAGCGCAGTAGAGCTCAGAGTGTTGGTGGAAATGGATGTTTTGGTTTTTTTAAGAGTTGAAAGCTTCATTTTTGTTTTTAAAACCTCACAATGCTCTGCTTTTACAAAAAAAACCCCAAACCAAACCAGAGCCCTTCAGAATTCAGCAGCCACATTCTAAAGAGCTTCATGTTGTAAGACCTAGTTGTAGGCATGTAAAAGTTTTGGGGTTGGCTCTTTTTAGATTCTCCATTATAGCAAATGGGAGAACACAGGTGTTTGATTTTACACAGAGTAGCTTGGAAACTCACACATAGGTCAAAGCAGAAGAACACAGAGCAACTTAGAAAGAGATAAGAATTTAAGAACGCAGAGATACAAGGCAAATATTGGGAGCCATGAATACCCCTACTCATTTTACTGTGGTGTGCTTTAGCTTAAATGGTTAGGGCTGGTTCCTCAGTCCTAAATGTCAGCATCAACTTATGTAACATGTCAAAGTCAACTTCACAGATTATGCCCTGAAATATTATTTCCTAATGCAAAAAGTCTGACAGTGAGACAGTTATCTTCATTGCAAGCCAAGAATCTTAAAACTTGGTGCTCAAGAGAAGCTTACAGGTTTATGCACAAAAGTGAATAAAATGTTAAAACCTTGATAAAAAAGCTTATTCATCTCTTCTTGTGATAATGTATTAGATACCTTCTTTGGCTTGATGCCCGTTTGTTCTTGGGTTCCTCCTTTTTCTTCTCTTCCCTTCGTCGCTTCCTTGACTGTTTAGCTTTCATTCTCCGCTTGCGTTTCCTTTTCCTACTTCTCTCACTTTCAGATTCACTGTCAGATGATGATTCTGATGAAGTAGACAAGCTGCTGCTGGAAGTATCTGAAGCTTCTGAGTGAGCAGACACCTTTCTCTTCTTCTCCAACGCTTAGGATGGGAAAGTTAATACATTTTGATAATTCACACTTGGAACATATGGATTTGCATTCAGCATGGTGGGTAAAACCACAAACACAATGAACTCTGGGGATCATGATTAGATCATTACACTTTTTTGTTTGTTTGTTTCTAAATATTTGAGATAGTATGCTAGTTCTAGCCATACTGATTGACCACTGGGCAGACATAAAAAGGCTACACTGGCAATTTGGCATTAACCAAATGCTAGACAATTTAATGCTGGACAATGCAGCCATGGTTTACTGCCATTTGCCTTGAGAAAATGCATCCAGATACATTCATATAAAATCAACGTGCTGGTTATCTGTGGGAAGACAGACATTGTGCTATGTCAGCAACTGATATTGTAAAAGTATTTAACTCTCAACGTCACCCCCAGCAAATATACATCTTAATTCCTGCCTTATTTTTTAAATAGCCCTGAAGACTTCTTTCATCCAGGTTCTTAACTTTTCCTTCCTGCTTTCATTTTCCTTTCTTAAAGATGGCATAACAATGGATACTCATAGTGCTTTATTGTTTAATGTAAAAACTGCAGCTGCTGAGGGTTCGCGCACACAATATAAAAGACTCTGGGATGCAATTTATCTGCACTTGCTAGTCTAACAGTGCCCACTGGATAGTTTCTGCACAGGCATCAATGAAGTCCTATTCTTTCCAAAGCCCTCCATAACATCTCTTTCTCTGGCCAGTACTTCCATCAGGGGTCAGTGTGCGCCTCCAACACAGCCAGCCCCCCTCTTCTGTCTAGCAACCTGGTCCACAAGTTATGCCACTGGTAGTGATGGCTGTGGTACAAGTGAGGCCAAGGGTACACTGGGGAGAAAATGAGCACCACACTCTCCTGTGGGAAAAGTTACGCCTACATCTGGATGGATCACGGTCTTATGCAGAGTAAAAAATAAAAGGCCATCTTAAAAAAACAAAATCATAAAGAGTAGGGTGCTTACAGATGCATTGTGTTATAGCAAGGGTGGCTAATGCACTCCCAGAGGCTCCACCTAGCCTCCAAGGGATTTTCTGTGGTCCCCTACTCCAATCTGTCTTACTGTTATTATTACTGCTCCTATGGGTCCCCTGTCATGATGCCCTAAGGTTTGTTGCAGCCCCTAAAGGATGTGCCCCCAGTCCATTTTGTCATTAAAAACACACACACACACACACACACACACACACACACACCTGACCATTCCAACAGGTCCCATGCACTTATTCGATGATGCCAAAAGGTTTATGATCCCAAGATACCCCAAGATTTGTTTTTAATTGTTAAAAATAAAATGACCACACACCCATCTATACTTTGGCCCACAAGAGGACTGACCATGGGCCAATGTAGCTCTTGGCCTGAAAATGGTTAGCCATTCAGGTTAGAGAGTAAACTCATTCTACGTAGAAAACTTTATCATGAAAATGTCCTGTTTTACTATGATTTAAGCTTAGAAAATTTGATCCATTTAAAATTTAATAAGGAAGCACACTTCTAATATTCCTGTATTATCCTAGGTTTAACAAATTAGTATTTTCCAATATGCTTATTTTCCAATATGTAGCCCACATTCTCCCAAATGTAGCAACACAATATGACCATACTCAGTATAATGTTACAATATGGAAACATAGTAAAAGCACATAAAAAGGGGTTTCTTTAACTTGCAGAATACCTAGATCTAATACAAATTATGATAGTATCTCATAGATTTCGAGGAAGTATGCAATGGCTTACCATCCTTTGCCGATTTTGTAACCAGCAACCCACAGTCAATAACTCGCACATCTGCATATGGCCTACTGGCAGTATCAGTTTTCAGATTTTCTATTTGCTCTATTACTTCAAAGCCAGAAATAACCAATCCAAAGACAACATGTACACTGCAGAAACAGAAGATGCAAAAAAGTGCAATGGTTTATATGCCAGCAGCAATTGCTTGGAGTGACTTCATGCAACAAATGTCATCCTTAACACAGAAAATTCATTTAAAAAGAGGTTGTGTTAAGAAAGCTTTAAAATTATTGGCAAAATGCAGAGCCAATATGCTATGCCCTGTTACATGTTTTATGTCAGACACATATGGAGTCACACATTACACACTTTTAATTACACACATAGGTTGTTTTTAAGGTGAAGTAAATTGGGCTTTTTAAAAAGCAGTTGTTGCCTATCCTGTTCATTTTCTTTGTGTGTTCAGACTGTCCTTCCTACAGCAACCAACATGTATCTCATGTGCATATCGTAAAGAGAATAGGAGAGGCATTATTGCCCTTTTAATTTTAGAATAACAACTCTAAATGATCTTATATGATACAAGGATAAAAAGTGGGGTGGAAGAGTAGAACCACCATGTATAATTTACAGAATCTACTGAACTTTGGGACTGAGCAGAGATTTGAGCCTTCCTGGTTTAAAAGTGCATATTCAAGAGAAATATCCAGTTGATTTGGCCCAAATGGCCTTAAAGTGCAAGAATACAAATATCTGTATCTTACCCATCAAGATGAGGAGCAGGCTTTGTAGTTCTGCTTAACATCAACATGAGATGATTTTTTTTTGTGTGTGGAAAAAATCAGTTGTTCAGATGAGGAGGTAAAAAGGCAGAGTGGCACATAAAACAAAAAAGGAAGGAAAAAAACAGGGCCAAGTTAATAATTTTTGCATACAAAGCTTAAGATTCTTAATGAAATTCAGGAAATGGAATACATTTCAATAATTACTATTACTACAGCATAAAGCCACACTTCAGTTATTCCTCCAGGCGATATGCATGCAGACAGAGCACATACATTAACAGCTCAGTTTCACCGTGGCTGATATTGGGCAAATAACTGTACATGTGCACAAATTTCATCTATTGCAACAAGATTCATACTGCTCTACTGCACAGCATTGCCATCTGGTTCTTACCAATAACACTAAAATGCGGCAATAGTAATTTAGGTGCTTGTATCAACACCGTATGCTACACAAAACTTTAATTATTAGACAAAAAAGGGGATAAAATCAGCTTCTGCAAAACAAATTGGTTTCTCGCTATTCTTCTGGGTCTGCAAATCAACTTCAAATCTTTTCACTAGAGACTGGTCTACAGCCACTGTTCTAGAAAAGTATCGGTAAAATTTATCGACAGTCAAGTAACACCAAAGGCTAGCACTGAAATCTTGTTGATATCTAATCACAACTAAGTCCCACTGATTTAATGGGGCTTCCATCCAGGTAAATTTGCATAAGACTGCAGCCTTAGCTGAGACTCTTAATTTATTGAACTCCAAGTCCTGTTTCTGTCTACTCCTACAATGGCTTGTATTTTAAGGAGATTAAAAAATAATCAGGAGGTAAATGCTATATTTGAAATTTCATTCCTCTAAACACCGTACCGGTCACTACTAAACCCTTTCAAGTCATACATTCCAACAGTTCCCATCTGTCAACGGCTCAAGAAGAGGATGATACAACAGATTTCAGGGGAAAAGGTATAACCCAAGTATAGCACACACCCCTTTTGCATACCACGCAGAGAATTTGTGTCACAAAAAGCAAGAACCGCCGCTGAGTTCATTATTTTGATTAAGAGTCCTCCTCCTAAGTCCTCTTAACTTATGTTCCTCTCTTCAAGATAATCAAATATTCCTGTTAAAAGTTTCCTATAAACCAGCAGGTTCGCTATCAGGGTCCACTGTTCTTGGCTGGCTTTGGTAACCAAGTCAAAAAGCAATGCTTGTTTGAGTGCCTTGCCTGAACAGCAGCCAAAGGAGCCCTCTACCTCCCTACAGGAAAGAGAGGTTCGGAGCTTGCCCATTTGGTCTCTGCTTGACCAGGGTGCTCAAGGCACTGTCACCAAGCAGCAGCCAAGGACTCTTCCCATTTGTTCTGGAGTAATAAAGGGTGGCAGACTTACTGGCCTGGCCCTGCACTGTGGGAGGTGGGGCAAGACTGCTGTACATCAATACTGGGACCCTCAGTGGCCACACAGCAGTGGTATACAACATGGTGAGCAGAAATGTGGAAGGAAGGACAGAAAGTTTTGCACCGCACAAACCTAAACGTGGGAAACCTGTGATTTGCTATACGTCCTGAAAGACGTCTGGCTACCCCTGAGCAAATGCTTACCTTTCAGAGAACTATCCAGAACAGTGAATATTAAGCAGGTGGTTACGTGTTCCTGACACCAAAGAACATTGGAAAACTAGCGAAGGAGCACAATGTGCTACCAAGTATTACCTTGCTGGTACTTGGCTTTGGGCATCCTGTTATGATTACTGTTGTTCCAACTATGTTGGTAATGCGCAGCCAACATCCCACCAATATTATGTATGTATGAACCGCCCTTTAGTAAAAGGGATGATCATTTTGATAATTTGATTCTTTACAGAGCTCAAATGGTGCAGTATGTGATATACAGGAACTTGAATTACAAGTTCAAGTTTTACTGCATCAATGGATGCACTGGGTAGCTACTGGCAAGTCACTCAGTCTCGGTTCCCTTATCAATAAAATGGAACCAATCTAGAAGAGCTGCTGCAAGGATGAATAATGCACACTGTGAAAAAATCCACATTCTATGAATTAAAACAGGAGTTTAAGACAAGTTTGATTACAATTCATAAAATAGTTACCAGAAACTACAGTCCAAACACCACCAGCTTCCAAATGGAAGTCTGATAATTAACTATTAAGGGTTTGAATATTTCACCATAAAATAGTATTTCTTATCTAAATGTTTAAGGGATTTTAGAATATTTTCACTACAGAGACATTATTAACATTTTCAGGAAGGTATTGAGGAAGACAGAAGTGCTCTGACCGACAATTAGAATAATTTTTATTTGTTTATTTATCCCCCTCCCCGTGCTTTAGATATTCTGATAAACTTGAAACTTTGTATTTGCATGTTGTTAAATAAGATGGCAGGTGCCTGTAAATACAATGTTTTAACCAATGTTCCTTCCTTCCTCTGGAAGTCCATTATAGAATTGCAGTTTAAGAACACAAGCTGGTGACGTACCCATTCCACACATTTTCAAAGGTGTAAGCATAATTTCATCCTAGTGAAAAGCACTGTACAGAGAATGTTGCTTGCTCCTCTTCCCCCAAAAAGCAAAGCAACTAGCTTTCTACAAGTAATTGATATTCTATCACAAAATAACACCTTGGGGTTTTTCCCCCCAAGCCGAGAGAATGAATACTTATTTAGAGGTTAAAATAGTGTTGTCATATAGACCAAACTGCTCTGCTCAAAACAGGTACTTCCCCCCCAAGAATAACTTCAATACCACAAGATTTAATGCACATATGATCAGAAAAGGACAAGAAAGACAGAAAAAAGAGAAGAGAAAGAACACAGCCTTAGAGGAATGAGACATTACCTTTGGAGCGCACGATGTAACACTGTTTCTGTAAATTTTACACAAAAATGGCAAGAAATAAATTGTAGTACAATTCCAGACAAAATTGAGTCTATGTTTAATACAAATTTAAAATATTTTTCAAGTGAATGCAGTTTTCAAAGTGTATGCAAAACCAAGAACACTTTAAAAAGAAGGGCTCTAAATTTTCATGTTCATATTTAGAAGGTTAAAGTAAGTTGAGGGTTATACCAGTAAAGATATGTCTTGCTTATGTACTGAAGTATCACTACAAACAATGCACTCTATTAAACCTTTGCCTAGAAAAGATCTTTTTACTGAAAATTTTCAAGAGTATGCAATGCACATGTGTAGAATTCTGTGTAAGTGATTTTGGCATCTGAGGATGAATTTGTATTGTACAGGATATTATGGGTTGTATCCAATGCAAGTCGGACTCCAAGTAGACCCACTGAAATTAATATACATGACTACCTTAGGTCTACTAAATTTAAGTTAGCTGCAACCCTATACCCCTGTTATAAGAGACCATTGAAAGGAAGATAAGCTAATGAAGAATGTTAAAAACGCAAAAGTCCATACTTTCTTGAGTAACTATGGACACTCATTTTAAAGTCTTTTTCACCTGACAGAAAGAAACTCTAGCAGTACAGAAAACAATATAGGCAGTAAAGCTTTAACATACAAAAAAGCCAATCATATGAAAAGAGACAGCATTCCCTAAACTTAACATTTTGTACTGGAGGTGTTACTGTTATTCTTTCAATACTTCAAAGATTACCAGCAAGCATTTTTGAAGAGATCCTTTATCACTTATATTTATTTAAAATAATTTATATACCGCTTAATTGTAAAAACGTCTAAGCGGTTTACCTGAAATACAATTCACTAAGACTTACAGGCCTGGAAGTCCTTGTTAAGGACTTCCTGTGAATAAGCAGTGTTGTGAACCAGCACTCATTGATTCTTGGGGGTGGGGAGAATGAGAGCTGGCCTGCACGTAACGCTAAGCCAAGGCTTGTGGTTTGTTCTTCTGGTCTCCAGTCGAGGCAGAGCAAAACGAAACAGGAGTGATTCAGAATTATGTACTAGCAGCCTGCTTATTCACAGAAAGGCATTAAGCCACAAACCATGGTTTACTGTGATGTGTGTATTGGCCCATGTGTCACACCAAACACACTGGGTCAGTTTTATTTGAATTTACTCATTACAGCAATTCAGCTGTGTTATTCATATTTAAGTTGAGCTGAACAGAACTGTTTAGATGTTAAGAAAGTAGGAATCAATAATTTCTTAATGGTGTGAGAAATATTGTAGGAGAGCTACACTAAAAGACCTTGCACCGTGAAATTAACTGCTCCAAGAAATGCACTACTGTACATACACAGCAACTTTCATCACAAGCAAGACCAGGTACACCACCTGTAAAATCCATTGCTTTAGATTTCTCTTAGTAGAATGCCACCGTCCACAAATGAAAGCACAAAGTAGAAAAGTCACAAGGTTGAACACCCAACCTCCGCTCCCAAAACACAAGCCCTGTCTACCATAGCTCTAGCATCTAAAAATTTGACCTCCCCACCCTCCAGCTACGTTTTAGAAAAAGCTGTAGAACTGTTCCAAATACTTGCAGCTGTTCATAAACTAAGCTTCAGCAGATTTAACTGCATGCCAGTTGCATGTTTGAACAAACACTGAATTCTTAAGTGTTTAAAGGCCAAATATTTACTTTTTTTGTGTGTGTGCATGCACAAGCGGTAAGGAAAAATGTGCATTCACATACTCATGCTATAATCTATTTTAGGTATCCCCTGAGCTTGTGTGCACCCAGCTGAATATTCTAACACCCTCCACCACCTCCCTTTTAACAGCAGATCTTCCTCTAGGGCATATCACAAAACTTACTTTTGGAACTCGACTCAATTCCAGAACTGCAAGGTACTGTGGAACCTGGACAATATGGCTTAAAAGCTGTACTTCCTGGCCTGATTGAAAACATTGTAGCTCAGTATACAGCACTTAAACACATCCTTATGAGAACAGTAACTCATGAAAATATTTACAAAACATTGGACCAGGATCCTAACAGCTCATAGCGTAAGCAGAATATCTTCCACTCATAGGGGAAGCTTGCTGATTTTTTGTTCCAACTACAGTACTTCATTCTGTATTCCTGATCTTCAGCAAGAGATTTTCGAGGGGTGTTTCCACAAAATCCCCCCCTTGTATGCAGGAGTCCCACATGTGCTCCTTTAATTCTTAGAAAATATATCTTTACTTTATTTAAAAAACCAAAGCCACAAAATGTGTGGGGCTCCTGGTATAAATGGTAGTTTTGTTAATAGCCTAAGACTGATCACTTAGTAGGGCTGTGCACTGGTCACAAGAGCCAACTTTTTATCCATGGCTTTGGGAAGGAGCCTGATCTGTTCTGGAGTTCTCTGTTACCCCAAGGGCCATTGGCTAGAGGGGCTTCTGCCCCTGCTCTGCCAAGTCTTCACCCGTGTGGGGAGGAGGTTTCTCTCCATTGATTTGCACAGATGTGTGGGGCTTCCCTCAAATCATTGTGAATGGAATGCCCTACAAAAATATTTCAGTTTTTAAGAACTAGACTTGTCAGTCAACAATATCCTCCAGCCTGTCCAATTCTCCTCTTGACTTCAGAGTGTTAACCTATTCAGCTTGGTTTCTCTCTCTCTCTCTCTCTCTCTCTCTCTCACACACACACACACACACAGAGAGAGAGAGAGAGAGAGAGAGAGAGAGAGAGGGGCACTCAAAGTTTACACAGCAACTCAAGAATTAGGGATCTCTGTCTGATCCAACTTGAGACATCTTGTTAAGGCCTTAATATAACTCAGGGGTTTGAAAACCTTACCTGAATCATCCCTATTCATCTCTTAATTCAATAACTACACAGAGTCAATGCATACCCCTACAATCTACTATGTGCTGAAAGTCAGTCTGCATCCACCTACATAGTCCTTTCAGACTGCAAAGCAGGGGTGTTAATTCTATGGGCACGGAGGAGAGGTGTGAACACACAAAGATATTTCAGAGTGCTTCCTAGAAGTTTCCTAGATTTCCAAAAAGTGTGTTGTTGTTTGTTTGTTTTTAAAACAGAATTCAAGAGAGAGATATTTCTGGAGTGCGCGCGCGCGCACACACACACACACACACGCAAAAAATTACTGTTTGGGGAGTTCACTGGAGGTAGCTACTTAGAGGGAAGCACCTAAAAATAATGTTAGCACACTGCGCTTAAAAGGTAAAGGTACCCCTGATCGTTAGGTCCAGTTGCGGACGACTCTGGAGTTGGTGGTCATCTCGCTCTATAGGCTGAGGGAGCCGGCGTTTGTCTGCAGCTTCTGGGTCATGTGGCCAGAATGACTAAGCTGCTTCTGGCGAACCAGAGCAGCACACGGAAACACCGTTTCCCTTCCTGCTGGAGCGGTACCTATTATTCTACTTGAACTTTGACGTGCTTTTGAATTGCTAGGTGGGCAGGAGCTGGGACAGAACAACGGGAGCTCACCCCGTTGAAAGGGATTTGAACCGCCGGCCTTCTGATCAGCAAGCCCTAGGCTCAGTGGTTTAGCCCACGGCGCCACCTGCGTCACCTCTAAATTATAATCATTTGCATCCATGAAGGCTCGGAGCTTCAGCTGCAGTTCTGTGCACATGGAACTCAAGATGTCCAGGAGCTGTTGTAGCTCCATGCTGCCTCTCTGCTCAGAGCAACACTGCTGACCCTGATGCAGCAGGCTTCTTGGGAAGTCCCTTCTGTACCTCATCTGCACCAACTACTTGCTCTTTCCCTGTGGATGCAATGTGCTCAACACCAGAGCACTCAACTCCTGATTTCGAAGTTAACAGCTTTCAATAGCTGCACAGAGGTAATACAGAGGTCACTCTGCTCCCCTTGTGCCAGAGATGCATCCATCTTTTTTAAACTCATAGAGCCTAAGCCACTCAACCCTTTCCAGTTCAAGTATCAATAATGTGTAAGGAGCCCCCAGAAATGATAGCAAATGATTACAGTCCTAGAAATATGACAGCTACTGGGATCAGTTTCTATATGTATGAACCTGAGAAGCGTGTCTACATAAAATTAAATTTTCCCTGAACTCATGGATTAGAGCGAAATATAAACCTATTTATTAAGAGCATTTTACAGAATTAAGACAATTTAAACTCTGGTGTTGGCCGTTATTAAAAGCTGGTCTTTAAGATCCAGCTCCTAATAGTTTGCCTATTAACCAAACAATCCTGCAGGTAATATGAAAGAAACTTTAGAGCCCATTGGTAGCTTCTTGGTCAATGTACTATCAGTTGTTATTTCTCTAGTTCAGATAAGCTTAAAAATGGAAAAAGTGTGAGCAAGAGAGAAGGTAGCAAGGATAGTGAACAAACTGCTTGTGCTCAGGACTAAATATACGATTAATCCAAGTGTTCAGTTTCAAGAGAAGCCATCTTTCTGCCAGACTAGATAAACAGAATTCACAACAAATCTACATCTCTTTGCCCAATGAAGTATGAAGGAAATCCATTTCCAATCCTTCTTCTGGTTATATTCAATTTCCATTTTTCGGACTTTTTTTTTAGAAAAGGAAACAACCTAAATATGCCTCTTATCTGAACTTCATGAAGGCAGAGATATCTTGAAACAAGAAGAGTCTAGTCCTGGACAAGATACTCCTTTAACTCGGCTGTGAAGCGCCATTCATTCTTACCCAACAAGAAAGATGGCAAAGTTTATAAAGTTTTGAATAGCGCAACCTGGATTGCAATTCTTCTAAAGCACTTCTGAAAACACACCAGCTTGAAAACAAAAGAAAAAACCCAGATCCTCCTAAACACAAGTCTACAGTGAATAAAACTTGTGTTTCTAAAAATGTTAATATAAAATAATGGAAGGTATTTTAAATACCGAAAGGGGCACATTGAAAACAGAATGACTGGGAAGTCACTTCAGCTTAAGAGCTGTGCGGTACTCACAATATTTTTATGAATCAGGGATGAAGTTTGTTGACGAAAACTTGTGAAGTACATTACTTTGCCGTTCAGTTTATCTGTCCAAACTTTAAGCGATTTAAGATGTGCAGGATAACCCATTTGGAATGTCTGTACTATGTTATGATACTGAAATCTTTTATGATAAACCTAAAGTACTGTCAAAAGAAAAATTCCCTTCAAAAATTTATTTTACGTTTTGCAATTAACTCTGGTCAATAAGATGTTTTGTTTTGTCTTCTCTTCCCTTTTATTGTTATCTTCAGAATGCAATAAAATGATTGTAAAAACTGTCATCAAGATGATCAGTCAGCTAGTATACATGTATATTGTATTGAGTAGTCTGCTTTGGATGTTTCTCCCTATGCATTCAGGGAATCCATGGAAGGGAGCAGCACCCTCTGGTCCCATGCCCAGTATGAACATTCCTGCTTGCTCTGCTCCTGATTATATAGAATCATCTAATCCAACTCCCCTCTATGGGTGTCAAACAAAGGTCTCAAAAACAGCCTCTGTGTATCTAGCTGTACATGTACAGATTCCCCTTTTAGACCTTTGGCAAATGAGAGAATGGAGGGATACTTCTGATACGGGCTTTTTAACAGTTCTGAGCTGAACTGGGACAAAATTTGTCACAGAAGTGGGATTTAAAAGATAATTTACTTGAATTATTTCAAAAAATACCATTTTTATGCTACAGAAATGCCAAGCAAATTGAATTATACTAGAAAAAAACATATCTAAAAAAGAATTGTTTTCTGTAATTTGTGAGATGAATGAGTTTTTGACTGCCCTTTGCTTTTTTCTGCAACAAATACTTTTGATGGTTGGTTTTGGCAATACCATCTTTCTCATGAACAGCGCTTCTTCATTTAAGAAAACTCAGCTCTCACATTACATCTACTTACATGAAAAACTGGGAACCATTGGTATGTTTCCCTCTGTTTGCCATCGACAAAAGGAATGCTCTATCGTGTTTCAGAATAAAGTTTTCATCTGTTTCAAGAAAGAAGAAAAGACAGGCTAGTTAGCTTCTCTGGGCTGAATGAAGTACTTCAAAAAAGATCAGCAGCTTAACAAGGAGGAATTCTCCAGCTGTTCACCAGGGAAATTTGAAAACCACATAATAAGAGCAGATATAGGTTGTACAATCAACAAATTCGTTAAATAATACTTAGGAGTTTTGTTGTTAGTCATAACAGCTTTACAATTAAAAAAAAAAAAGATTTTATCAAGCTGCCTTCGACTGTTAGCCTGCACATTGGTCCATTCAGTCTAAGTTTGTTTGCTCTGACAGGAAACAGATCTCTTGCAAATACTGGTATCTTGGACATGCAAACTATGCACACTATCACCAAACTATACCTGGATTGTTCAGTCCAACCCTACTGACTATGGAGAAGGGGGTCGGGAAATACCATAGGGCGGCTTTCCACAATTTAAGAAATTCAATGGTCACTTAATGCCCCCTTTCCTTTGTGAAATAAGACAACATATTTGGCTGACTCTAAGTATAGCCCTCTTCCATTCCAGCCCCCCTGGAGTACTAATAAATTAGCAATATATTAGCAACAAAGTAAGAATGGTGCTGGGTGGTAGTAATTCACAGACCATTAATGACCAGCATATTAAAAGGCTGAACTGCATAATTGCAGTGAGGGTTGGATACTTTTGTTTATAAAACCTGCCTTGAGTGCAATACTGACCATCTACAGAGAAAACAACACCCAAAACACATTATCTCTCAAAACCCACTTCAGTACAGTTTTTCCACCAATTGCAAAAGCGAATGAAATTAATTTCCACAAAACAGAAGAGAAAGCCCTGTGCCCTCCTTTCAAGCTTTGGTCTGAGTACGTCGTTAGGAGTAAAACGTTAATCTGATGAAGGGTATAGAGGAGCCGAGCAAAACTAATTTTAGTCAGATAATCCCTTTCATATGCACACAAAAGTATAATTATGGCTGAACTGTTAAACAGCAAAGCTGCAAATACACAGTACCATAATATTTGTACTTACCCATCATAAAATCTTAGAGAAAAAGAACCAAAAACCTTTAGAATAAGGATTTGTCGATGCACTACTCTTAAAGACCAGTATCTGTTGCCACCTAACTATATTTAAACATCCTTAGAGTTAAGCTTTGGTAAGCATGTTTTGATTTGGTGCATATTCCAACCAACCACTTTCAACACAAGTTTGCAACCAATATTACAACCAGAACCATCCAGTTTCTGTTTAAGAATCAATGGCTAATAATAGGAAGCTCTTGGAAACAGTTCATTCACAGGTTTAGTAAAGAACAAACATAAATGTATTGCTCCTATGAAAAACAGCTACATGCTGAAAAATATTTTGAGAATTCAATATACATACAAACCTTGAAAGGGTGGGGGATAGGGGAAGGGGAAATGTTTCAAGACAAGTATTTCGAATCCCAATTATTTCTTTTGCCAAGGAGAAGACCACCTTAGAGTCTCTCAAACTATATTTAGGCTTTTCTCCAAACTATATTTACCCAGCCACAAATTCATTATCAGTGGTCCAAATGTTTATTAGGAAGGGGGCAGGGGAACAGTTTGAATTTGTGTTGAGCATTTGTCTCTTACCTTTTCATTTTGCAAAAGACCACATTCTCTATAAACAAAAGAATATGTTGACAGTTTTAGGCAGGAAGATAGGAGTTGTCATGAATCAAGTTGCCTAGCCTCCATGCTGAAGTCATGTTTAACCACTACATTAGCCGCAATAAGTTTTGACAGTTAATGCTAACATTACAATATATTCATTTACAAGTCATGCACATAGATAGTATCCATGCAACGTTACTTTCATGCAAAGGTGATCTAAGTAGACCTTCTCATTAAATGCATCATGAATAAAAACTCTCAAAACTGAAGCAAGAGATCAAGAATTATTAGACCTTACCTTTAAAATATCCTCCATAAACAGATTCACCTCCTTTTCCATTACCTAGTTATTTAAAAAGTATGAATTAAACCATGTCAAAATGGAATTATTCACATGGTTAGTATAGTGATAGGTCTGTGTATAGGTATAATTCTGAACTCTTGATGTGTAAAAGATTAAATAGGACCAGCTTAGTTAAATGTTTTAATTGCATAGTTTATCATTCAACCTCATGGTAAAGCTCAATTACAGAAAGCTTACAGCTAAATCGACTACCCAAAACAAAGCTAACATACAAGGATGGAAAGTTTGCCCCAACACTTTGTTCAGAACCATGTATTTCACAGCTTGCTGTTGCAGGGGAACCACTGGCCATGCTGACTGAGACTGATGGAGTCTAACACCTGAAGGGCTACAGGTTCTCCATCCCTGCCCTAAATTCATTTGACACCAAGCAAACTCTCAGCAGTGGTAGACTCAGGCCAGAACGGAAGAGCAGCCAAGTGTGCTAACTGGCATGAGCCTACGATTTTGAAGGGAAGTACTACAAGTCCCCTTAGAAGAGGCAAAGGGGGAACCTTTGTAAATATTATTGAAATGAGGCCTATATTTTCCATCTGGCATGGGTGGACTTCACATTTACTTTCCAAGTAAGCCTAAAGGGCAGGATAAATGTAGGCGTTTTGAAGCAGGGGTGAAGAAACCCACAGCAACCAAAGCGCAGTTTAACGAACAGAGCAGCAGTGGACATTCACACTCCAATTCTGAACATATTATGTCTAAGCGCCACTTCAGGTCACTTCGCCTAACAAGATTTCTTCACATGTCACTTGTGTGAACTTTCTGTGAGATGGCACATATGATTACTGCACGTATGCAATCCACTAGATCTACACTCAGCAGATTATGCACAACCATATGAATATTTCTGGCGACATTTGAAATTAAACCAATTGTCTTGTCAGTCAAAACACATCTGTGCCCAAATTCTAATCTGAACTTCTTCATGCATGAAGAATGCTACATGATAACATTCAGGAGCAATAAAGTTCCTACGCCTGTGACTTCCATGAAGGAATTTTATCATGTCTGGGCATAGATGACTGACATGCCAATGTTTTAAATTTCAGATAAATGCAACAGCCCTGTTGAGGGAAGCTTTTAATGTCTGATGGACTACTGTATTTTAGTATTTTGTTGGAAGCCGCCCAGAGTGGCTGGGAAAGCCCAGCCAGATGGGCGGGGTATAAATAATAAATTATTATTATTATTATTAACAATTAGCCTCTCATCTTACTATTATATTGCTTTGAAGATGGATTAATTTTATTTCTTTCTTTCTTTAATTTGTATACTACTCTTCCTCCCAAAGGAGCCCATTGCAGCAAACACTACAGTAGTAAAACTTCCAATAAAAATAAAAAAATAAAAACCTAATTCTAAAATACATTACAAAGCAAATTCCCTCACTACTTGTGTGGGGTAGGGGTAGGTGGGGGGGGATCATAATCTCTCTCAGACTCTACCTTCACTGAAGTCTCCTCCTTGTATCATGAAGTTTTTAACCACACGGTGGAATGTGGAGCCTTTGTAGCAGAGCTTTTTCCCAGTTGTTTTTCCAATTCCTTTTTCCCCTGCAGGGAGGAAACATATATAAGCTACTATCTTAAAAATTCCCAAAGTAAGAATCTTGTTCTAAAGTTGAACAGAAATACAGAGCCAAGCATTAACACACTGCAAAATAACCAGGTTTACAGATAAAAGAAACACTGGCACATTTCTACTATATACACCAAGATATTTAGAGATTTGCCAATTCTTCCACTCTTCCCTCAAGCTTTAACACTGCAAATGAGGCTTTTAATGATCACATCAGCATTTTCTTCTTCTATCACTTGGCAGATGTTGTTTCCCTCCAGGGTTGTTTTCAGAAAGATTAGGAGAGTTTAAATAGGATTTAATCTCCTGGGCTCAAGAGAGATATCACATTCGCATTACCACAACAACTCCCATTTGGCCGATCTCTGGTTTTCAGTGCAAGGAGTAGTAGACAGTAAAAAGGGGTAACAAAACATGCAAAGAAGCCTCCTGTCAAATGCACCTCTGTCAGCAATTGTGGGCACTGGAATGAAGAAGCCACAAGTTACCTGAACATAGTAACAATTATTCAGTGATGGAAATTATTCAATTATGGAAGAAAAGATTACCTGTACATAGGCAGAGAAAGTTTTTGCAAGTCCTTGGACACACATCAGAAAAAAGTTGAAATATGATACGACCAACTGTAATAAGAATAAACATATAGTTACTTTGCAATTTTGTAATATCCAGGATAAAATAGTCACATTTCCTCGGTGATTGTACTTTCATATATTCTTGCTGGAGATAAACAAAACACAATACAAGTTTAGTTGTAATTATTTAAAAGGTAATTATTTGGAAAGTTTAAATGCACTGGCAAAAACAGAAGACTGAATGGACACCTATTCTGTCTCTCTGTCAGGAATAGCCGGGGTGGGGGTGGGGGTGGGGGTGGAATGTACAACCAGAGAGTAATGATGTGCTTGATTACCATTTTTATTTTCCACAGGTGATCAAGGAAGCCTGATTCTTATACAGGGCTAATATTGATCCAAGTTATTATCTGTTATCCTTTAGTACACAACAGGCTTAGGCAGTGGAGGGAAAAGGAGCCCAGGTAAGCACCTACTACAAAGTCGTCTCCCCAGAACATCTTCACTTCCTTTAGAACTCACTAATATATAGGTTGCCTTCAAGAGACCTTGGTACTTTAGTACTTATCAGGAAAGCAACTTTTTCATTTGCGCATTACCTGAAGCTTGAAAAAATGCAAATGTATGTGCTTCAGTGAATGTTAATAATAGTAGCTAACTGCACAGCCTGCTATAGCCTTTGTGTGTCCTGCGAGTCAGGGCACGGTAAGAAAGAGTAGGATTCGTGACCTAGGACCTGCCTTTATTGGCTCCTCTATAACCTCACCTCCCTGCCAGTAAGCATAATGGCATTAAAAATGGAAAGACACTTATGACTTCTCATACTGCTACTGCAGTGGAACTTTGGATAAACCTGTGAAGAGTGGGCTGATTCCGTGTTGCTGTCCCCAACAGCAGCCATTAGCTTACACTCATTCTACCCTTCTATCTCTCCCCAGTTGTGCAGGTTCCTGGCAGCAAGGAGAGGAGGGTTAAAGGATTTTCACAAGGGGCAGGAAGGCAGGCTTACAGCTTCAAACATTCGCCTATGTGGAAGTGAAATGCCACCCCCCCCCCCAAGACTTGAGTAACATCATAGGCATTTTCAACTGGAGAAAGTAAGTGGAAAAATACCATACTATCTCAGTATCTGAGGTGTATAGTAAAGGTAAGGTTTTTTTAAAAAAAATCTGAATTATAGACCTATCAAGTTTATATTAAAAAGGTAAGTTGTTCACAAAAAAGACCTCCATATGAAGAGAAAAGTAAAGCTTAGTCCTTCCTGATGCAGATTATAAGTTACAACATTTCAAACTGCAAGACTGAATATTCTCCACACCAAGAACAAATGACAAACAAAATCCATTCATACAGAAAACACATGTCAGGGACAAGGTATTTTGCCTCATTTTTTTTCATCTGACGCTTGTGCGAACTAAGCCTGGGTGTTGCCCATCTCATATCATTCTTCTCCACCAACAAAGATCAGGAACTTTCCACTCAGCAATATTTTATTACTCAGTAAAAAGGTCAAGAGACCCCTGACCATTAGGTCCAGTCGTGGCCGACTCTGGGGTTGCGGCGCTCATCTCGCTTTATTGGCTGAGGGAGCCGGCGTACAGCCTCCTGGTCATGTGGCCAGCGTTACTAAGCCGCTTCTGGCGAACCAGAGCAGCGCACAGAAACGCCGTTTACCTATTTATCTGCTTGCACTTTGATGTGCTTTCAAACTGCTAGGTTGGCAGGAGCTGGGACCAAGCAAAGGGAGCTCACCCCATTGTGGGGATTCGAACCACCGACCTTCTGATCGGCAAGTCCTAGGCTCTGTGGTTTAACCCACAGCGCCACCCACATCCTCAGTACTATGCACCAAATACAGAAAAGCCTTTCTCACTACTTGGAAAAAAATTCACACCACTACTTTTAAATTACTGACCGTATAGTCTTAGAAATACTTTGAACATCAAAGTAAATGTGAGGGTAGGTGGAGGAGTATGTAGTACATCAACTATACTACATTATTGATTTTAGCGAGGCCATTCTTTATAACTTAATTTGAAACAGTGTCCTTTACTTTTTTTAAAAAAAGTAAAAAGATTTAATACATGTTCTAATCAGTTCATGTGGCATACTCTTAGAACAGACTCAGAACAGTAATCTGTAGAATGACTACGAAGCACATGAGGGTCTTTAAGAAATCCCTGATCACCTAATTGCTTCTACAATTCCGAAATATGAATCCCTGTGCACTCTGCCACTTCCCTCTGCTGCTATAATAAAGTTATACTAGGCACCCACATGAAGTCTGAGAAAACACAATTTAGAAGTAGCCTTTTATATCTTTTAATTTTCTTACAATGACATGCAGATGGCATGAGGTACTAACACCACTAAGACTACTCCTAAAGGACCTAATTTAGCACTGTGGTAATTAGAACATTTTACATGCTAGTAAAATCCATTTATTTTCTACTGTAGGCACGTCAAAGTGGAGAGATGGACAGTTTCATCTGAAATCTGTCCCTTCCCCTACCCTACTTAACATTTCCTGTCAGGTATACATCAATAAATATTGCTTCTTATCCTCAAATGCTTCTTGCTCCTCGAGCAGGATGCTTCCCTTTCCACCCTAAATCACTACATACTGAAGAACTTACCAATGTTTTTTGAAAGAATGTTATCACCAAACAGAAAAAGTGCTGTTTTATTATTCTAATGTATAATGTTTGATCCATTAAAAGTGCATGAAGCAGTAAAAAAATAAACTACTGCAACCACATAAGGCAAAAAGAACCATAAAAAAATCAAATCAATATCCAAATACTTTAAAAGTAGTAACAATAAAACAAGACACTGAACAGAATCCAGAGCAGCATAGATGTTTCTGAAGACCTGATATTTCTGGTAAATTTTCACTTGTCTTTTAAAGATTAGCAAGAATGTTTCAGACATCTGCATAGATCATTAATCTATACTGCACATACCATTTTCACTACTGTGAAATCTGGGCAGTCTAGCAAGCTGAGGTGTCTATAGTTGGGGGTCACCAATACAAAATAATGACCCCCACTTTCCCCACATACTGGTTATCACCATTTCCCTAAGCTACACTACTAACTTCAGCTGCTCAACAAGGACAGCTCAAGACTGCCTTACAGATGTGACTAAAAGCAGGGTCCAAAAGATATTGACTAAGAACAGATCATTCATCCATTCCTATAGCACTCTGTGTGAAGGAGAATGAATAGTACAGAATTACCACACATTTGGGGTGGTACTGAACCTCACTAATTTCTTCTCTGCCTGAAAAATGAAAGGAAATTGCAAATTCAGAATCTGCAGACAGGTAAAGGACAAGTGTTAGAAAGATCAAGTTAAAAAGAAAAAAACACACTACACTATTAATAGCCTATTGAAATGAAATTCCTCTTCACTTCTTCATCAAACTATTTGTGAGGGGGGCATATGATCTCTTACAAGTGATTTATCATACCAGTTCTTACAGGTAAGCATGTTCTAGGGATAGAAAACACTGAGGTAAGTTCTCTGGTACAACAACTACTGGCAAGTAGGATAAGATGACATAAAAAATGAAGAAAAAGATAGCTTTATAGTTAGCATTTTGGGTTTTTGTCTGAATCATGACAATCCCAGCATTTATTAAAAAACAGTAAAATCCCAGTTCCGATTAATAAGAAAAATGTCAGATGTGAAGAAGTGTTAAAATCAGAGTTCCTGGATGGAGATTCCTGTGGTTAGAAAACCATGAATATCACAGTGCCTGTTGTGTGCCTTTTTAAAAAATAGTAATAATCTTCCACCTGATGGAATATCAGCAGCTTCCCCTGTTGTCTCCCACCAAGAGGGAACAACCGAGAAACTTGACTGCCAGAGACCAGAAGAGAACATGACCACATATCCTTAAATTTTACTTTTTGTGACCTTTGCCTGAGAAATGGGGTATAAATATACTGAAGAATCACTTGTCAATGTTTTCCATGATTCTGCTTTCCCTTCTGGCCATGAGAGCAAACACAAACTCTTTAGGGATTAGCATGCATCCTCAAAATTACAAATACAGGCATCCCCCACTGTGTTCAACTTGGGCGTGTTCAGCGTTATGCACTTGGTAAAATAATAATGTGAGTGGAACAGAAGTAGGCATCCAGGAAATTATTTTTTTTCAATCTCACCCGCCACTGAAACCACTAACCCCCATGTAAGTGGGGAGTCACCTACACATCAATTTACAATATTTGTTCATGCTATCACACTGAGAGGTTCTAGAGTTTACCCCCAGCAGTTCTCTAAATTAACTCCTGCCTCTCACAATACACACAAAGAATTTTTATCATACAAGTGTTTAAACCCTACCCTATCAACCCTTCTCAAATTCAAATCCTTCCTTATCCTGATGTATATTTTTATCCCCCACCCCGCGTACAAAGCTCTCTCACTTCACAGGGATTACAGACAGGTTTTTACTACACTATCCTATAACACCAGTTCAGTTTATCTATTGATATTAAAATGCTTAAGACACCACATATGACTACTGAAACAATTTGCCAAGTCACTATACACAGCTAAAAATTAACAAAGCCTATTATATATTCAGAGTGCTACACAGAGGGGGAAAAGACAATTCCACAGTAATGTGAAATATGGCAGTCATCTATCTAGACATTTAACCTAAAGGCACACACTGGCAGCACATACTTCTGCTTCAGGGCTTGACCTAATTCAGACATCTTTTCAATCATACAGCAATCTCTAAACCCCTCCAACTCTTACCTGGTTCCCGATTTATTTCTATGTCGAAGAAGCACTGAGGCCGATCCTGCGCCCCCATGGCAGCAGGAAGCCCAAGCACCTCTCCTCACCACCTTGAGAAAAAGAGAAGCATTTCAGAATTCAAGCTGCTCAATAATAGTAGTATATAACATCACAGAGAAGCTGAAGGCTATTTATTGTAGCTTGAAAACAATCCTCCACCCACATGACGTAGCAGCCAATGATAAGTGGTACCGCAGATTTCACAGGAGCCACATGGAAATTACATTTTCTATTTTTAATGAAAAATTGAACAAGGGAGGAGACAAGCTCCCACATTCTGTTAGGAAGTAGAAAGAAGAAGAGCCTGCTAATTCTAGCACTAAGGATTCCAGGGTAGAGAACAATGAGCTTTATTCAGCTTTTGGAACAGAGTATCAAGCACTCAAGCCCCTTAAGGAATTTATGAGTGGAGATGTACTATTTTAGCTTTCCTCATCTGCTAAAAGGAAAACCGAACACTTGCACCCCCAACTTTGTTTGAGGAGGGAGTTTGCAAGGCAAATTATATTTCCCTTGCATCACCTTAGAAAGAGGATGATAAAAAATACTGCTCTCCTCTCTTTGGAATCTGCATGTGACAGAGGCCCTTCCTAGTCCTTCAATATGCTACCACAACTATTTACAACCTATTCCTACAAGCATTTTAAGGTGATTCACAGTTAACATACTTAAAAACACACAGCACATTTCTTAATAACAGACAGCACATTTCTGGGGCATATGAAGGAGACATATGCCTCACTGCTTGGCATACCACGAACTCCATGAGAGCTGAATTAATTTCTACACAGTAGCAAAATTTAGATTGCTCAATCCTGAGGAGGATGCGATTTGTTCCAAGGACTAAATACTGTACTCTTTCAAGATCACACGGAAATATATTACTGTAAGCCCCAAAAGGCTTCCTCCTCTATAAATACCATTCAGAATTTGACTTTCTCGAGAAATTTTAATCTTATGTTTTAGCATTTCTGCATGTTTTAAAGTATGTTTGTCCTTCCCCACCCCCTTGATCTTACTGTTTTACTTTGCTTTTGCTTCCAGCCCTCAAGCAGCGTATAATTTTTTATTAAACGGACAAAACCACGTACAAGTGGGGGAGGAGAGGAGTCCCTATCGTTTCAAAGGGGAGCTGTTTCCGCTAAATGTTTATATTTTGGGCTGCCCGTCATCCTCGGAGAAGAGCATGTTTAGCCTGGAGAAGAGGAGGTTAAGGGGTGATATGATAGCCATGTTCAAATATATAAAAGGATGTCACATAGAGGAGGGAGAAAGGTTGTTTTCTGCTGCTCCAGAGAAGCGGACACGGAGCAATGGATCCAAACTACAAGAAAGAAGATTCCACCTAAACATTAGGAAGAACTTCCTGACAGTAAGAGCTGTTCGACAGTGGAATTTGTTGCCAAGGAGTGTGGTGGAGTCTCCTTCTTTGGAGGTCTTTAAGCAGAGGCTTGACAACCATATGTCAGGAGTGCTCTGATGGTGTTTCCTGCTTGGCAGGGGGTTGGACTCGATGGCCCTTGTGGTCTCTTCCAACTCTATGATTCTATGATTCTAAGAGGGCTCCCTGCAAGGGGGGGGGGGGACGGACCATGGGGCGTTTCCAAAGCAAGGCAAAGAGCAACCAGGCAGTAGGCTGAAACCCAAGGCCTTTACCAGACCAGCTCCCCACACCTGCCACCAAAACCACAATAACCCGGGGCCTTGGGGAGCTGCTGCCAGCCAGAGCCGACAACACTAGCCTAGATAAGGCCTGGGGAGTAAATAGCAAAAAATTAAAAAATGGGGCGGGGCGGGAAGCCATTGTGCAAAAGCGGGTGGTGTGGAGATTCCCTGAGGAGATTAAAGGCACCCGGGAAGTCAACCGCCCCTCGCCGGGGAGTCAGGGCGGCGTTTCTTACCTGGCCGCGCTGGCGTTGACGGAACCTGCTCTTTGTTTTCCCGCTCCCCACCCCAAAACGCCCCCCTTGCCCCGACCCTTTCGCCCGCCTCCCCTCACCACCCAAGGGGGGGGGGAAACTCCACAAGGAGACGCAGCAGCAGCAGCCTTGCTACCCGCCGGACGCCATTAACGGACTTCTCTGAGGAAACGGAGCGGCCCCGCCCACTCCGCCTCTAGGCCGCGCGCCCGCGCGAGCGCCTTCCTCCCGAACCCACCTCTCGCAATCCCATTGGCCAGCTGCAAAAGGTTCACGCCCCTTTCCCTCCTGGTTCCAATCGGTGGCGCCCGCTCTATTTCTCTCCCAGCCGCAGTAGCAGCAGCAGCGCCCCGCGAGGTGACGTTGGCAAGCCCCGCCCCCCGCCCACCTTGCTCTCCCTATTAGCAGAGAGCTTGGCGGGAGCGCGCGAGGAGTAAATAAATAAATAAGCAGGCGGCGGCGGCGGCGGCCACGTTGTAATATCGCGATAAAAAGTCTAGTCTCGCGGTTGTCCCCTCCCGCCTTTTTGGGGGATGTGGCAAATACGTCAAAGGGGGGGGATAGCTTTGAAAATTATATTTCGTTTTTCAAATGCTGTCTTCTTTAGGAAACCAGATGCTTAAAATTAGGGTCGCCAGAGTGGTTGGCATGTTTTGTTTCCTACAGCCCTCTCTCCCTCTCACACGTGCGTGCAAACTGTTTCCTCTGTGTCATTGCTTCTGGGCGTGTGCAGAGTTCCCTTCAGGAAGATTTTTTTAAAATGTCAGTTATCTCTGAACGTTGTGGAGGTTGCGCAGGTCAAAAGCCTTATTTTTGGAGGAAAATGCATTCTGCGGCCTGCGTGCCTCTGAGCATGTGCAAAGTGCCCCCTCCTGCTCCCAACATAAAGGGCAAGGCTTAGGTGCAAACCTCTGGCCATGGCTTTACGCCTTTGCTGCATTAATGCTAAATGCAAAAAAAGCGCTGGCTTTATATCTTTCCATTCTGGAATGAAATTCCAAGATGGGCCACGAAAACTCTGTTCCTGGAAATGTTAAAAAGTTCATGTTCTTACCCTGCTTTCCAATGTAGCATTATAAACTGCTTTGAGGGTTGTCCCCCAGTTAAGTGGGGTACACATTTTATGAAAAATACAGGACACTGCAAAAAACCTGCTCCCACCCCATAATGAGCAACCATCTTAGATGCACCCTCAGAATTCCAGCTGCAAGTTAATGGGAGTTATTCCCAAGTAATTGTGCACAGGATTGCAGCTTTAAATGAGCAGCTGCCATTTCTAGGTAAAGACGTGGCATCCTTAAAATGCACGTACTACTGCCTTTGAAGACATCTCAGAAACTTCAGTTAGTATATAATACTAGCTTACTAAAACAGCTACTGTACTACGGTATATATGAAGCACATCTTATCTTAATTTGATTATGAAGCTCAGTGCTGTGAAACAGACAGGTCAGAGCAAAAAGCCTCCAGGCATCTCTTAAAGATATCTTGAAAAGGTGAAGAGGACTTAAAACATTTCCTTGCCATCTCTTCAGAGTTTTGTAATCTCAAAAGGACACTAATAGCCTGGGGAAATGGCAACTCAGTGGAAACGGAAACTAAACCATTCATCTCAAGGATTTACATTGGTACAAATCCAGACACCAGGTGACTGTTGTGCATTGCTGACGAATAGGGAGGGTGAAAGTAAAGTGGCAGGGCTTTTTCAGAAAATTGTGTTTTTTTCTGACAAACTGCACTGCCACTACTTGGTTACTGGCCTTCTGTGCAACTCTGCAATTTGTTGCAGGGGATCCAGCCTGACTGGTGCCAGAATTCCAGGGGCCCCAAACCCATTGTAGCTAGTTGGCCCCCAACACGCACCCCAAATGGCCAAGACCTTCCCGTATTTTTTATTCTGCTTCTGCAGTAGCAGCAGAAATCATTGCCCTCCAGTGATGCTGGCACTGCCAGATGACTTCATTTGAGATTGTGTCTCTTTTTGGAAGAAAGGCTTGCAACTCAAACCATAATAAGTATTTTTTTGCAATCAGGAAATACATTGTTTCACCTTGCTGGAACTTCTACTGTTGTGTGGACACTGGACAATGTTTTCATGAGTATCACAGGCCTCTATAGAGCTGTGACTGGTATTGTTTCATAGAATCAACACAACTAGCACACACACACACACACACGCTTGCAGTATTTTGTGAGTCTACCTTGTAAAACAGGTAGCCAACACGGCTGTCCCAAGACATTCTTGAACTACAACTCCCATCAACCTCAGCCAGCATCACCAATAGTAAAGGATTATGGAAGTTAGAATCAAACAACATCTGAAGGGCACCACATTGGCTACGCCTGCAAAAATTGCATATAATTTAAAAGAAATCTTATGACTGTTAGAAGCTGGACTCTCCCATGCTGTACCATCCAACATGAGTGGAGTACAGTGGTACCTCGGGTTACATACGCTTCAGGTTACAGACTCCGCTAACCCAGAAATAGTGCAAAGGTGGATTCTTTGCCAGCCATACTCAGGAGCTGGTTGGATACTTTTACTTGCTAGTTAACTTTACTGCAGTTCACTAATACAGTGGTACCTCGGGTTACATACGCTTCAGGTTACAGATTCCACTAATCCAGAAATAGTACCTCGGGTTAAGAACTTTGCTTCAGGATGAGAACAGAAATTGCGTGGCAGCAGCGGGAGGCCCCATTAGCTAAAGTGATGCTTCAGGTTAAGAACAGTTTCAGGTTAAGTATGGACCTCCGGAACGAATTAAGTACTTAACCCGAGGTACCACTGTATTCCTCTAAACCTCTTCAAGAAGAGAACATGGGCATTTCAACCAAGATCTGATTGGGAGAAGGATTTCTTCTTCTAAACCCTCTTATTGTACAGTATGTTCCTGCCCAGTTCTTTGCATATGTGTAAAGCAGAAAAGGAATCACTTATAAGGAAAAAACTCAGTGTAGTGCCTCACTGCAAGGAAAAGCATTGGCCTTCTGTTTTGCAAAGCAAGCTTGAGTACTTTGCTGCAGGTAGATCCATTAAGAGATAACGGATGAAAAGCACTTTGAACATTTCAGATAAGCTAAAGAAATGTTAAGTACTGTTATTGTTGTTCTGACTGCAGATGGAGGAGGATTAGTGTCATAGAGAGTGACACTTGGTGGAAGCCAAGAGAAATGGTATTGCAAGCCAGGAAAAAGAGAGAGACAAAGAAAGACTGTTCCCAGTGAATGCTTTTATATGTGTTAACTGCGCTACAGGAGACTCTCAAAGGCTTAGGCAACCAAGGTCATTGCCTTTCCCCTTTAATCACTGCTTTGTTTTATAGAGATAAAAAAGGCAGCAGCTGGCTTAAGAAGTATACAGTATGTGGCATTGCATCACTTCAGACTTCACTGACCTGGTACCCTCCAGATGTTTTGGACATCAACTCCCATCAGCCCTGCCAGCTTGACAGTACTGCTTTGCAGCTGCTCAACGTAAAAAAGACAGAGGCAATGGGTTTGTTTTTTAAGGGCAAGATCTAACTCCAAATACCCCGTTTAGTGCCCTAATTTTGACAGACGTTTAGACCAGAAATCTGCTATGAACATCCTTATACACGGGGCACTTCACAAACACGGGACAACCAGAGAAGTCTTAATTTTTGGCATCTCTCCACTAGAATGTTTCACGTTTCATTTTGTGTTTAACCCACAGAATTATACAAAGCCATTTGATTCCATGACTCCCCAACAATTTTAGTAGATTTCTGCACCTGATCACACAATATAACAAAATTTGAGCAATGTTGAGGGTTTGATACCTTTGTTTTCACTTTGTCCTTATTCCATAAGAAGCCTGACTCTTGCAGCAAGTCTTTCAACCACAGTATGTGAAACCCTAGTTAATATTGCTACCCTGACATGATGATATTTAAGAACTGTGGTTTCAAGTATGCTATTTATTTATTCTGTGTTGCAGTTAAGATGGGTGGGTGGGTGGTTGCTTCTCTGGAGCGCTCCCCAGGTGGATCTTCACTCCCAGGCCCTGGATTGTCCCTCCTTTCCAGCACCACCAGGTGTCCATGGTGACCACTGGGAAATACTGGGAGGAGCAGAGATCAGCTCCAGGAATTATGGTGACCCTAGAGAAGCCATCCTGGTTTTTGATTTGATCCCGCAATGTCCCAGTTTTCCTTAGGATGTCCCAGTTTTCATCAGAGAAATATTGGAGGGGATGAGAGTATCTGAACCCTTGCAATGGTCTTGGCCCGTTCCCCTTTGATCCTGGCTTTTTCATTTCTTGGGCGCTGTCCAAAATGCGCAGCCTCGCTTACAGCCCTGGCCTTTCCTTCATTTGCCCATAGGAAACAAAGGTTGATTCATAAGCGCGGGAGAGGGAGGACGATGACAAAATCCTCAGTGGTGCATGGCCTTTATGAGATCCGACCAAAATGCCCCCAAATAGCTTGCAGCCTTTCGTAATGGCGCCGCCCGGCTATGGATTTTGCTGTTTTCCATCAGAGAGATTGCCAAGAATTGGAGCATCAGGGGATTGGGCTAGATCAAGCATAGGCAAACTCCAGCCCTCCAGATGTTTGGGACCACAATTCCCATCATCCCTAGCTAACAGGACCAGTGGTCAGGGATGATGGGAATTGTAGTCCCAAACATCTGGAGGGCCGGAGTTTGCCTAGATGACCCTCGGGATGCCTCCCAACCTTACAATGTTATGATTCGATGACACTTCAGCCCCAACAAGTACGGCCAACGGCCAAGGCTGATGGGAGTTGTAGTCCACATGTTGGACTACAACTGGAGAGGCGCCGTTCCTCTGTCTACGCAGGGACTCTTCGCACGGAGGCGCCCCTCCGTTTCGCAACCGGAAGTTCAGGTTGCGCATTTGGCTTCTACCTCTTAGGGCACGCGGGGCTTGCAACGGGAGGCGGCCGCCGCCGTGGCCTAAGCCAATACTACTCACATGCTGTGACCAATAAAAGTTGTGGCTTAATTTCGCCCATTAACCTAAAACAACGTCTTTGTGTGTCTTATTATAATCCTATGCGGGTGGAGGGTCCTCGACTCACAACCGGAAGTGCAGGTTGCGCATTCGGCTTCTACCTCTTAGGGCACGCGGGACTTTGCAACGGGAGGCGGCCGCCGCGCGACGCTCTCCCGCCGGCGCCTCTATGGCGATCCGCTCCGGCCGCCTCCATCTCTGTAGCCGGAAATGGACGGGCCGGGCGCGTTTGTTGTGGTGGACGCCGCTTCCTCCGCTGCCTGCGCGGCCGCTGTGACGGCGAGGCCCCGAGGGGAGAGGGCGAGGTGAGGCGGGAGCCCCGCGAGGGTCAGGGGAGGGAGGCCTCGGGGAATGGGGCCGTTGGCTGAAGGAAGGGTGTTGGTCACGCAGCAGGGGTGACCGTCGGAAGGGGGCGCGGCGAGCGGAGGAGAGAGAGAGAGAGAGAGGGACCTGGCTGGCACTGAAGGGGGAATGGGCCTACCTCGCGGGGCTGTTGTGAGGCTGAATGGGAGAAAGGAGGGGCCGCGTGGGCCACTCTGGGGGGTGAAAGGCCTGAAACAAATTGCATGAATAAATCACACACACACACACACACACTCTCACACACTCTGCACGTGTAGCCAATGCAGTGCCGGATTTATGCTGAACAAGCTATAGCTTAGGGCCTCGTTCTCTTGCCCCCCCCCAAAAAAACAAATTTAAAGGAAAAATAACCTGGATGTACATTTCCAAAATATAAGATGAAAAACAAATAAAATAAAACCTACACACAGCAGCAGTGTTTTGTGTTGCGTAGGCTCCTATGATGTAAGTCATGGGCCCTGCCTGCTAGCCTGCTCCCTAAAATATCACTTAGAAAGGGTCCCAGTAGCGTAAAGGTAAAGGGACCCCTGACCATTAGGTCCAGTCGTGACCGACTCTGGGGTTGCAGCGCACATCTTGCTTTACCGGCTGACGGAGCCGGCGTACAACTTCCGGGTGATGTGGCCAGCATGACTTAAGCCGCTTGTGGCGAACCAGAGCAGCACATGGAAACGCCGTTTACCTTCCTGCCAGAGCGGTACCTATTTATCTACTTGCACTGGTGTGCTTTTGTACTGCTAGGTTGGCAGGAGCAGGGACTGAGCAACGGGAGCTCACCACCTTGGCGGGGATTCGAACTGCTGACCTTCTGATCGGCAAGTCCTAGGCTCTGTAGGGCCTCCTCAAACCTAAATCCGGCCCTGGGTGAAGGTTGTGAAACAAATTGCATGAATAAATCCCTCACACACACACTCTGCACGTGTAGCAAATGCAGTGCCGGATTTATGCTAAACAAGCTACAGCTTAGGGCCCCACTCTCTTGGGGGCCCCCCAAAAATTTAAAGGAAAAAACACACCTGAATGTACATTTCCAAACTATAAGATAAACTTCTTAATTGTATTTCAGTTCAACAATTACTTTGATAAAATACATATTTTGTTATGTGCAAATGGCTTTCGATACCTATCAGGTCCGCAAATTACCAGATATTCTTAACACAAAAAACACAAAAAACAATGACAATTCGTTTTTGAAAAAGGACAGCTGGGTATGTAAAGGGCCCCATTACTTTCAGTAGCTCATGGGTTGGTTTACAGTATCAAGGCAAAGCTATGGAAAGGGTATTTAGATTGTTTTGAACTGTAGGTGGGGAAAGAGTGGCTTAAAATGGGGGGAAAATGTACTGGTTCAAGGTTTGCTCAGCTTGTTCTGGATAAAGTGTGTGTAGAAATCCAGTTTGAGGAGGGACCCTGTTGCTGCAGAACTGCTGATGTTTGGAAGGAAAGGGCAGGCAAGCAATGAGTTAGTTTAGTGCTCCCTGTATGCCCTGGTATTCATAACAATGCATTCAGTGCCCATTTAGAACTGGATATATATGAACCTGCTGGGATTAAAGAGCTTTTCATTGTCTGCAGGATTAAAGAGCTTATCAAGCTCTAAACAGAACATTAACATGTTAAGTTGTTAGGAACGGCCTGTTCAACCTGTTCAATACAGCGCTGCAGACAACTGAGATTCATTGAGGCAAGTTCATAGTTGCAATTATCCTTTGGAACCTGGCTGAAGTCTTGTGCAACGTGGTGGATTATTTAAGATTAGACAGTTATGCTTCTGTTCTATAGACTGTGATGTGTGGTTAAGTAATGTGGTTTATTTTCCTTTTCCTTTTTTTTTATTACAAAATATGAGAAACCCAACCCACTGACAGTGCTGCTTGTGTTCTTTAGCCTTAGGGCACTTGCAGAGAGGAGTAGATAGTTCTGATGCTGGTGATGCTGATAATAATAATAATAATAGTAAATAATACTTTTATTATTTGTATGCCACCCATCTGACTGGGTTGTTCCAGCCACTCTGGGCGGCTCCCAACAGAATATTATTCTCAATTGGAATGACAGCCTACTTGAATTTAAAAACAAAATCAAACCCACCCCTGTTGCACTTTCAGAAAAGACACTTCTTCCTGAACTTCCCTGGTGATAAAGATATTCACATTTTTTTATTTTTCAGTGTGAGCGCACCACGCTTATTGTCGCTCAACTTTCTTTCCTTTTCGATATATTTTCTTAAATTTGATGTGTAAAAGTAACTAAATAGAATATATTCACGGGTCCTTCACTGAATCCCTCTGCTTACTTAAAACCCCCCTTTTCAGTTGTGTTACACCGACTCTGGAATGCTCTCCACAGCTTGGTGATGTCTTTTTGCTGCTGCGTGGCGTTCAAAAATACATTAGTTATTTTATCTATTGTTACTCTTATAGTCCAAGGAGTCATGCGTGGTTCTCCAGTGTGGAGCTCTGCATTGCTTTCCGTAGAATCATAGAATTGTAGAGTTGGAAGGGACCCAAGGGTCATCTAGTCCAACCCCCTGCAAAGCAGGAATCTCAGCTAAAGCATCCATGACAGATGGCCATCCAACCTCTGCATAAAAACCTTCAAGGAAAAAGAGTTCACAACCTCCTGGGAGAGACAGTTCCACTTTTAGTCAGGCTTGGGGAAAAACAGCAACACATTGCTGCTGCTGTTTTATGCTGCTATATATATATTGTGTGTGTGTGTTGTGTGTGTATGTATTGTAACTCTTCATTTTAAACCGTATTAGCCTCGGTGGGAGGTTTTGCTCAAAGAGGAGCAAATGAATACATTGAGTAAACGAAATACTTATTTCCAGGTTGCCCCCATGAGTTCTTCTGTGGAGGATGTCCATGATCCTCTTTGCCTGCGTGGTTCGGGTGAGGGATGGACTTCCACTCTCTGCCTCCACGGACTTCCACCTAGACCAGGACTTCTTGGAATGCAGGAAGAGGCTCAAGACCTTGTCATCCATTCTGACAAAGTTTCCAGAGCGTGGGACAGCCAAAGAACGTGACCTCAGTATACAGTAAGTCATGTTTCAGCTTGGCAGAGATGTAGGTTTTCCCTGAAATTGCCTTGATGGGTACCTTCATGTATGTTTCCTTGATAGTAACATTTTATTTATGTGTTTGTACTCTGCTTCATTAAAATATATATCTACAGTTACTAGAAAAGGTATGGTAATAAAATCCCAGCTAAAATTTAAGAGATGCATAGTGCCACAATCTGAAAAACAAAACAAAACAAAACAACAACCTACAGCCATTAGGGAAAGCCTGAATAAATAAACAGGTTTTTTAAAGTGTATGAACATGCCACGGTTGATGCCTCTTAGATGACATGTAAGACTCGTAGAGCATATTGGATTTTTCCTATTCCAAAAATGAGGGGTGCTAAAGTCAAGTAGGGCGTCTGGCCAAGCCTCTCTGTAACCTCTTTCTGCTTTGTCCAAGGTTACTTCCTGATAACATGCAAGTTAAACACACATCCATAGCTGTGGTCTCTGATACCAGCAAGCTCAGCAAAGGGTAGTGTTTTTACAACTCTGGGCAGCAGCCTACCCCCTGCATATTGAGAGATATTCTTTAAAATCAGTGGAAGTGTAAGGCTCACAGTCTGTCTGTTTCAGGCAAGGGATGCAGTTCTGTGCTTGAACAGCAAACAAACCCATCTCCTACATTGCTGGGATTCTAGGTGCAGAGCTGTGACTACAGCTATTGGGTGTTTGTTTGTTTTTTGCTGCTCTGGTCCCTTAGTTAAGTTTATGTCTGGTGCTTGTAGTGAATCCTGGGTTTTTCTTCTCAGCTTTCATTCTTCTGGAGACGTGGCCTGCATGGGGATTTGCACCAGCAGTTTCCCAGCTGCCATGGCGTTCTGCTTTCTGGAAGAGCTCCAGTGGGAGTTTGCCACTACCTATGATGCCACCAGTGTGGGCCTGGCTTCCAGACCGTATGCTTTTCTAGAATTTGGTGCGTACCATGCTTGCCTTGTCTCTCTTCTTCCTCCTCCTCCTCCTCTTCAGGAATCAGTAGCAAGCATCGCATTTCAAATAAATCAAGAAGCCCGGCTAACATTCTGCCTTATACTAGCTGATATATCTTAATGGCCCTAACCTCAATTGATGGTATCTGCCAGAGAGGAAGCATAGCGATAACCATCCTGCCCAAACAGTGAAATAATCTATTTGTGATACTTATTTGGGGTTGCCCTTGGAGACTGCCCTTGTGTCCTTCCCAAGCAATCTGAGACTTTGTCATCTTGCCTTTTGCTCTGCCCTCTTCACACCTCTTCTGGTTCTGAGAGACCAGCGGGGAGGAGAGCTGGTCGCAACAGGAGGGGGACCCCCCCCAGCTTTTTCAGCAGCCTGCCTGATTTTTGCCTCTTGCCCACTCCACTCCAGCCTCCGCTTCTGCCTCTGATTCTGGGCTGCTTTCTACCACAGACTCCCCCTGCTCACGAAACCCTGTTACCTCTTCGGCTTCTGATGCCTCCTATTCCAAGTCTGCTTCCTCTTCTCTCTCTCTCCCATCTTCATCCCACCACCTCTTCCCTTACTCTGAGCCTTCTTCTCTTGGGGGGGGGGGCAGTTCCCCACGTGTGCCTCCTGCCACTCCTCTGCATCCAGCCAGTCCCATGGCAATTTTCCTACTTTCAGTGGTTTCTTTTCTTGCTTCTCTGATGCAGACAATGTCATTCAAAAAGTCAAAGGCCGTTTCAATTACACAAACTGCGCACAGACGAAGTTCAACTTGGAAAAGATCCAGGAAGAGCTCCTCTTACGGCCTCCTGCACTTGTGAAGTTGGAAGATGCGGAGCTGAGGAATGGGATTGTGAATGGCCACACGGAGCTCCACATGGAATCTGGTGAGTCACAGTCCACAAAGGTGGATTCTTTGTCAGCCATACTCAGGAGCTGGTTGGATACTTTTACTTGCTAATTAACTTTACTGCAGTTCACTAATAGTTCCAGCTGATAGGCCATAGTCACAGCCGAGGGCTCCAGCCGGCTCTGGATCCATTCCAGTCCGGCTTCCGCGCTGGTCATGGGACCGAGACGGCTCTGGTCGCCCTAACAGATGATCTTCGTAGACAGCTGGATCGAGGCGGGTCGGGGCTGCTGATTCTTCTAGATCTGTCAGCAGCTTTCGACATGGTCGATCACGAACCTCTGGACCACCGCCTTGCCGACGTGGGGATCCAGGGCACAGCCCTTCAATGGCTGCGCTCGTTTCTCTCCGGTCGGGGACAGAGGGTAGCGCTTGGGGGGGAATTGTCATCACGCCACTCCTTGGTGTGTGGAGTACCTCAGGGTGCGATACTCTCCCCGATGCTTTTCAACATCTTTATGCGCCCCCTCGCCCAGCTTGTTCGGAGTTTTGGGCTGGGTTGCCATCAGTATGCCGATGACACCCAACTCTATCTGTTGATGGATGGCCATCCTGACTCGGCCCCAGACACACTGACCAGATGTTTGGAAGCTGTGGCTGGATGGTTACGTGGGAGCCGGTTGAAGCTAAATCCTTCGAAGACAGAGGTCCTGTGGCTGGGACGGGGCGATATGGGATTGGGGGCAACTCCCATCTCTTGCGGGGGCGCAATTAGTGCCAGCACCATCCGTTAAGAGTTTGGGTGTAATCTTCGACACCTCCCTTTCCATGGAGGCGCAGATTGCAGCTATAACAAAGGCGGCATTTTTCCATCTCCGCCAAGCTAAGCAGTTGGCTCCTTACCTCTCTCGCCCTGACCTAGCCACTGTGATCCACGCGACGGTCACCTCCAGACTGGATTATTGTAACTCGCTCTACGTGGGGCTGCCCTTGAGACTGACCCAGAAACTCCAGCGGGTGCAGAATGCTGCAGCGAGACTCCTTATGGGGTCTTCGCTGCGAGATCACATTCACCCGGTGCTACACCAGCTGCACTGGCTCCCGGTGGAGTACAGGATCAGGTTTAAGGTGCTGGTTTTAACCTTTAAAGCCCTATACGGCCTAGGACCCTCGTACCTACGGGACCGCCTCTCCTGGTATGCCCCACAGAGAAACTTACGGTCTTCAAATAAAAACATCTTGAAGGTCCCAGGCCACAGAGAAGTTAGGCTGGCCTCAACTAGAGCCAGGGCTTTTTCGGCTGTGGCTCCGATCTGGTGGAACGCTCTGTCACAAGAGACCAGGGCCCTGCGGGACTTGACATCTTTCCGCAGGGCCTGCAAGACGGAGCTCTTCCACCAGGCCTTTGGCCAGGGCACAGCCTGACTCCCTCCCTCGGCAATCTTCGCGGAGCTCTGGCCCAATAGTTGCCAGTGGCCTGAATTAATTAATTTTATAATGAATGATTTTAGAGTGTTGTTTATGCTATACTTTTATACTGTTTTATTGTTGTTAGCCGCCCTGAGCCCGGCTTTGGCTGGGGAGGGCGGGGTGGGATATAAATAAAATTTATTATTATTATTATTATTAAAAATACAAGAACAAATAAGAGCTTGCAAAGGCATCCTATTTACTTCTGTAATAGTTGTGGCATATTATTTGGATGCTATAGTACTATCGGGACGTGGGTGGCGCTGTGGGTTAAACCACAGAGCCTAGGACTTGCTGATCAGAAGGTCGGCGGTTCGAATCCCCGCAAGCTCCTGTTGCTCGGTCCCAGCTCCTGCCAACCTAGCAGTTCGAAAGCACGTCAAAGTGCAAGTAGATAAATAGGTACTGCTCCGGCGGGAAGGTAAACGGCATTTCCGTGCGCTGCTCTGGTTCACCAGAAGTGGCTTAATCACATGACCCGGAAGCTGTATGCCGGTTCCCTCGGCCAATAAAGCGAGATGAGCGCCGCAACCCCAGAGTCGGTCACGACTGGACCTAATGGTCAGGGGTCCCTTTACTTTATAGTACTATCAGAACTTTACGTGAAACTTTAAGCACACTAAAAGTGGTTCACGTGACTTGTTTTGTTAAATAACCCTGTTGGGTAGATCAGTATTGTTACCCAGATCTTGATCTCCCAAGAGGATTCCTCCCAAGAGGAATACAGTGGTACCTCGCAAGACGGAAAACTCGCAAAACGAAAGGGTTTTTGGTTTTTTGAGTTGCTTCGCAAGACGATTTTCCCTATGGGCTTGCTTCGCAAGACGGAAACGTCTTGCAAGTTTGTTTCCTTTTTCTTAAAACCGTTAATACAGTTGCGACTTGACTTCGAGGAGCAACTCATAGCACACGGTGTGGTAGCCTTTTTTGAGGTTTTTGAAGACTTTGGTGATTTTTGAAGCTTTTCCAAAACTTTTCTGACACCGTGCTTCGCAAGACGAAAAAAACCGCAAGACGAAAAAACTCGCGGAACGAATTAATTTCGTCTTGCAAGGCACCGCTGTAAGTGCTTTGCAAATGATGCTGTGTGGAACTAATTCAGACACCAGGGTACGTAAGAAACATGAGAAACGGCTGTAAATGACATAGCAGTGCTCACCAGTCTCACTCTCTCTTTCTCATTCCCTTCCTTCTTTGAACTGGCCTGAAGCTCCTGCTCACAGAATGCAACCTGTGTCTGCTTTGGGAATCTTATCTCTTGTTCTCAACATTATGTGTGGAGCGTTGAATCTCATCCGAGGCGTTCACCTTGCAGAGTATTCATTTCAGGTAACTGGGGAGATGACGTGGGGACGAGGAGGGTGGAGGTAGGAATTTCTTTGGTACCTGTCCAGACCCCTGCGAGATCAGGCCGGTGGCTCATCTAGTGCAGTATCCTGTTTTCACAGCGGCCAAGATATATATCTTAATGGAAACCCACAAGCAGGGTTGATTTCTGCAGTCATGTTTGACATGATAATTTTTTATATTCTGCTGGAAGCCACCCAGAGTAGCTGGGGAAACCCAGCCAGATGGGTGGGCTATAATCATCATAATAGTAATCATCAACAACACAATGTAATTTAACCTTGCTGGGTTAATGTGGTGATCTTTGTTAAGGGAACATTAGTTGCTTATACAACAGCCATGTGACTGTAAATATAATTACTTAAGATCAGATGTCAAGGTTAGCAACTTCAATTTTTGAGACTTTCTAGTACACAATGAACCTGCTAGGAACTGTGCGCATGTTAAGCCTCTATGAAAAGAAAATGTAAGCACTTTATTTGTTTCTCATGCTGTTTGGCATTGGCTGCTGTTTATACTTTCGTTAGTATCTGATTGCAGCAGAAGCACTTATCATATTTGACTCTGCTTTATATATTTTAACCCACCAATATCAGTTTTCTGATAGTTTATTATAAATTTAAAATGTTATAATATCCATATTTTCAACATGAATTGTTTGTTTGGATCATTATATGACATTATCGGGCATTTAGACCTTAATTGTAATAATGTGTTGATTTGCAATTTTTGCTTTTGTGTCATTAGCCACTTTGGGCACATTTATGTGGGAGAGCGGCATACAGATTAAAATAATAACTTAATACCTGCAAATTGGCCACTGATAAATTTCGACTGGGAAACATCTGTGGAATCAACGTCCAAGACAGTAATGAAACCAGTAAGAGAGTTAAATAAATATCTAGGCTTATTTTACATGTTTTGCCCAGTGGGGGCCCCCACTCCGTCTTTTTAACAGAGCAAGAGTAACTTAGATATTGCAAAGTTCTGTGCAAGTTGAAAGCTGGTCAAATGTGAACCAATTAAACCAGACTCCGTTCAAAACAGATGAACTGATCTATCTCAGAAGAGGTCTTGACATCTTTGATGGGTTTGATGTGAGTGCAAACACCATTTCCCCCTAAATGGGGCTGTTGTTTGTTCAGAGCTGTAAAAATGTATTGTTTTACAAACTCCTTTTTTATTTAAATGATGTGGAATAATTTTGAACTAGATGAGTACTTTGGTTTACATTTGTTTCTTCAGTGGCATGACTCACTGTGTACACAGTCTTAATTGTAAGTTAAATACCAGTTCAGTTCCTTCCTGATTCTGTTGTTTTGAGTGCTGAAGTAATAAAATAAAGACCACTGTGTACCTTCTTGAAACAAATTCATTCAGGCTTGCACACAGTCAGGGAGGCTTTCCAAATGCTTTCTGCCCCCTCCTTTTAGATGCACATGACTTAACACAGATATAGATCGGCAGGCAAGAGAGTATTTTTTCCTCCTATGGTCTAATAACTTTGTGGACTTATTTGCACCGACTGAGTTAATTTGACCTTCAAATGTCATCTTCCAACAGGAAGACCGCAAAGGAATTGGAAATGTGATAGCATTTCTCCTTCCCTTTGTAGCCTGCTTTTTGTTGGTAAGTATATTATCTGTTTTCTTCCCACGAAAATCAGACATGACATGATTTGCAGTCTTGCGGGGGGCAGGGGACGCGGGTGGAGCTGTGGATTAAACCACAGAGCCTAGGACTTGCCGATCAGAAGGTCGGCCGTTCGAATCCCCGCGACGGGGTGAGCTCCCGTTGCTCGGTCCCTGCTCCTGCCAACCTAGCAGTTCGAAAGCACGTCAAAGTGCAAGTAGATAAATAGGTACCACTCCGGCGGGAAGGTAAACGGCATTTCTGTGCGCTGCTCTGGTTCGCCAGAAGCGGCTTAGTCATGCTGGCCACATGACCCGGAAGCTGTCTGCGGACAAACGCCGGCTCCCTCAGCCTATAGAACGAGATGGGCGCCGCAACCCCAGAGTCGGTCACTACTGGACCGAATGGTCGGGTCCCTTTACCTTTATAGAATATAGAGTCGTAAGGGACCCTAAGTATCGTCTAGTCCAGGCACGTCCAACATGTAGAGGGCTTTCCCCCTCCCTAAGAAAAGCTCAACAACTTTGACCTGAACCCCCCAAAAGGGGTTAGCTCACTGCTAGTTTTTAACTGTGAGTAGATCGCAGTCTCTTGGGAGCTGGCCACCCCTAGACTAGTCCAACCCCCTTGCAATGCAGGAATACGCAGCTGTCCCAAATGGGGATCGAACCTGCAACCTTGGCGTTATCTGGAGAAACCAGAAATTGGACCTAGGAACTCTCGCATATGAAGCTATGTCCCTTCCTTTCATAGCCTGGTTGCTAAACTTTGCTAAACTTCTCTCTGGTTTTCTTCCTTTTCCAGTGCTGCCTTTACCTGTTCTACAGTTCAGCCAGGAAGATAAAGGTCTTTGTACTTTTCGTCACAATCTGTCTATGCAACATCTACCTGTATGGGTTAAGGAACATATGGCAGATACTTTTCCACATAGGAGTGGCTTCCCTTTCTTCCCATCAGATACTGACACGGCAAGTTGTGGAGAAACAGCCAGACTTTGGAGTATGAAAACGATCGTGGAAAACCAGCTGCGGGTTGTTGTTTTTTAAAAAATGTTTGGTTTGGGAAAGGGGGTGTTTAACGCTGGTCAAAACCAGCTTGTGTAAAATGGCGAGGGTTTTTTTTGTCACCCAGCCTTTCCCAGAAGAATGGGTTTTAGCCCACAGTTGTGGGTTTATAGAAGCTCAAGGGAACAGGCATACACTGTGTCCAACTCAAGGAAGGGTCCTTTGAGCACCAGTCCTTTTCAGATCAACGCACATAATCTAGAGAATGATCTGGATGCCCTTGCCGGAGTGAAGCAGAGCCGAGGGCCTGATAGGTCCTTCCTGTTCTGGGATTCCGGGAGAAAGATAGGCTGCAGTTTCCAGCAACCATAAAACAAATAATCTGATCTGTAGTGTCCTGCAAGCAGAGAGCAGGAGAGCTCTAGACAACCCCAGAACATCAGTCCATGCCCCACTGGAGAAGGCAAGCCATACAGGGATGGTGATTGTTGCTTTCACGGTGAAACCCCCCCTAAATACGTTCCAGTCAGTCAAATACCCACATGGCACCACAAAGGCCAGGCTTTCGACTCCTACAAGTTTAAGACACAGGTAGAGCTAATAGAATGGTTCGTGGCTTTTTTATGGCAAAGATGGCTTTAAATGGTAGGCAGCTAATTGTGACTACGCTAGGGGAGTAGCAACTGATATAATCTCGAATGCAGATGATAGATGCCGTTTGCATGCATTTAGATTAATAGTAATGAACGACTTGTTGGGCAAATGCTTTGTATGTATTAGAGGTAACAGGAGGAAAAGGCTAAAGAGCTAAATAGGAGGTTTATCAGTAGAAGGTGGTCCATTGGGGCAAATAGGCAGTGCCCCACCAGCCCAGGTGTGCTCTCAGCCAGGCCTCACCTGCCTGCTTTCTTGCTCGCAAGCTGTCCAGAAACTGGCTCTGTCAGCTTCTCCTCCTCCTCTTTCGTCTCAGTGTTGCTCTTGTGTAACTCAACAGGAAGGAGGATGGGGGCAAAAATAGAGTTGATTGGTTCTGCCTGTCATTGGCTCTGGCGCCACCTGCTGTTGGGCTCCCTGCCTTCTGCCCTACCAGTCCCAACATGCACCCCCCATCAGCGGTGTTGATGTTCCTTTGCAAATCATCCAGGCGGACGTTCCTTGCACATCCTATTCAGCACTTTTTCTTCCTGGCCTGTGTGGTGTTTGTACAAAGGCACTGAAGGTAGAACAGGGTAAAAAAAAGAGGTCCGTTGGCAGAACAGAGAAGTGGGAGATATCAGTACTAGGCATTGTCTCACTGATGGGGATCAGGCAGCACAAATGAGCCCCCCGCATTTGCTCCCCATGCAGATAAAAACATTTCAGCTTAACTGGACAGCTTTTAAATAGCGACCAGGGTGCAAGTTGTCTGCCAGCAACAGCACTGGTTTAGGGTGGCTTCTGGCAACTGGTGCATCTGTTGTGATTCTTAAAGAGTTCTAGCTTTCACTTAAATAAACGAAAATGTTTCTAGTCGTGTGGGCTAAGGAAATGAGACTAAAAAGAGAGAGAGATAGTCTTCTGACAAGTCTATAGAGAAGGGAAACAAGCCTGGACTCCAGTTCCAGCTTCTCTGCCTTCCTGTCTTGCAGCCCACACCTTTTAAAAAGAAAAAGCAACTTGCTCTATGGCAGGGGCTCCCAATAGCCTCCCTAATGCAGCTTTCCGTGTGCAGAAAATTTCCCGAAGGAACTTTCAATCTCCCTTTCATGGTCCGCCCTGATACAATTCAGGCACATTTATTAACTTTTGTAAGAATATATGATTCATATTAATGGAAGCTATTGCCCTGTAACTGAGACTAGAGCAGGTTCTCTCTCTCCTGATACTCTTATTGCAGCTCATTGGATGTATTTAAGATTTGTGAACAGAGTTTAATTTAAGAGCATGCACTTTTGAAAGTAGTAACTAGAACCTGTGCTCCTCTCAGCCTCTGCTGCACTGTACAGTCCGGTATTTAATGTGTAGAAATATGCCAGCATTTACACCATTTGTGAACCCTTTTTGATAACTTTTGGAACAAAGTTTGTCGTGTAAAGTTTTGATGCAGTTTTTCTCGGTGACGGATTAAGATGTTTTCCAGGACACTCTCTTACTTGTGATAGTTTGGGGTTAGAGTTATTTGTTGGACTTCAAACCATTCTCACATTCATCCTTACTGCATGTCCTGCAGGACTCATCCCCCTACTCAGGATTTTGTATTTTCTCTCGACTATGAGAGTGGTGGGGAAAGGATGAAGAGAATTAACTTTCTTAGTCTGCAGACAGCTTGAGGTGCGAACTGAAGAAACTAATAATTCTCTAAAATCTGCTGGTAGCTCACACTGAGACTTCATTGTGTGTTTAATAGCTGACACCCACCTCAAGTCACAAAAGCAACTCATATCATCTCCTGCTTCCCCTTCACTACCAAAACCATTTCCTCTCCTCTGCCTGCTATCCCAAATACATCTTGTTCCCCTTCTAATTTCAGCATATCAGTGGAATGCGCTTCATCTGTGTTTTCATTTTTTTTCTTAAAAGGAAAGTTCTTCAAAACTTAGCCTGTGACCCTCAGCAAGCTTAGAGATTATCCAAAGAGTCAGAAAAATCTCTTGGTACAGCGATTAGGTGGGGATGGCGTTTTTGAATGAACCAACGCACAAACTCCCTTCAGCATAGAAAACTAGTATGCCAGAAAGTGCACTTCACTTCTTTTTAGGAACGCGCTTTTTTCTTTTCACCTGTGGGGCATTCACACATGCGCATGCTTCCTTCTCCAATTGTGTAATTACGTCATGCACAGAAACGTCGCATGAAATCAGCAAGATTTCTTTTCAAGCCGACGTATTTGGCGTTCAGGTTTTTGATGAGGCTGAGCAGCAGTGTCAATCCCTGTACAGATTTCCACAAGACATAGGGGAATCCAGAGGGTCAAATGCAGGGCAGAAGTTTGTGCAATGTGGGTAACCAACTGCGCAGCTAGTTCTGTGCTTCCACCTGGGCCCCCTTGGCTGGTTCAAAGCTGGCACTGCTGTCGGTCAGCCACTTTCATTTTGGTGATCTGCAACCTGCAGGGAAGCCACATACACAATGCAAGTGCTTTATGGTCTTGCTTTTCCCTGCAACCTCTTAGCCCAGTGTGCTTAGTGCCTCCTGGTTTTACAGATGGGGTAACAGGCTGCCCGGGACGCGTGTGGCGCTGTGGGTTAAACCACAGAGCCTAGGACTTGCTGATCAGAAGGTTGGCGGTTCGAATCCCCACAACGGGGTGAGCTCCCGTTGCTCAGTCCCTGCTCCTGCCAACCTAGCAGTTCGAAAGCATGTCAAAGTGCAAGTAGATAAATAGGTACAGCTCCGGCAGGAAGGTAAACGGTGTTTCCGTGCACTGCTCTGGTTCGCCAGAAGCGGCTTAATCATGCTGGCTACATGACCCGGAAGCTGTACGTCGGCTCCCTCGGCCAATAAAGCGAGATGAGCGCCACAACCCCAGAGTCGGTCACAACTGGACCTAAGGGTCAGGGGTCCCCTTACCTTTACCTTTAACAGGCTGCCCAAACCAACCTCAAGGCGAGCCAAGGATTGCCAGGCCGAAACCCACAGCCCCATCCTCTTGACCATAACGGCCACCATTATTTTGATACTGTGTCATTTACAAAGGAGAAGTTTGATACGCTGATTTCACATATTTTGAGTTTTTAAAAAATAAAAAGGGCATGTGCTAGGCTGATTGGGGAAATTAATGAGACAGCATGAGAATCTCCGGGTTGTGGGTTCGAAACCCACACTGGGGGAAAAGATTCCTGCATTGCCCGGGGTTGGACTAGATGACCCTCGAGGCCCCTTCCAGCTCCACAGTTCTTTGATTCTATGAGCCTAGGTCTCACTGAGGTGGTCTGTCCCTGAGTTTGTCTATGGGTGGGGGCTTTCAGGGTGGAAATTCCCCCAATGCTAAATAAATTCCCTGCTCATGGAAAACCAGCGTGTAAGGGAGAAGGCTAGAGTAGAACCCTTCTCCTAACAACTTGATAAGATGGTTTCTTTTGCTTAATGAAATGTTTTATCCTGTGAGCCCCACAACCTACGGTCTGAAGCAGCAAAACCCAGATGTTGAGTAGATCACGTTACTGAACGCTGACTCTTTACAGCAGTGTTTAGAACAATTTCCCTGTGTTAACTGCTGTGCCATTACAGTATCTCGTTTATGTAACGGGATTATATCCAACCAAGTTTTACTCAAAGTAGATCCATTGAATTGAATGGAACTAAGTTAGCCGTGCCCATTAATTTCATTGGGTATTGTATACAACTCAATCCAACAAATTGATTAAAACCATGCTGAAAAGGGGCAGAGTTAAGAATGTATTTTGAAAAGGACACATATAGGATGGTTTTGTGCTGCTTTAGTAAACGATGCCCATTCCTGCTTCCTCATTTCACACTTGAGTTTTGTTTTAGTAACAGCCAGCTAATGCCACATTTTAATTTGTACAATTAACAGGCAGGTTAGGATTTTAAGCAAGCTCCCATCCCCTTTTTATTTTCAAACCAAAGAGATTCTTCATACTTTTTTTGCGTGTGGAAAAAGAGGTACCATTTTTCTGGAGATGTTTTTGCACTGTATTATAAAAAGACTGATCTTTCGTCGCTGTCGAAGTCATTTTTTTTGCATGGGTGTACATATGTATATAAACTAACGGACAATTAAAAGTCAAAGAATAAATGACCTTTTTGTAATTACTTGTGACCTGTGATTTGTACAGCATCGGGCTGGTAAGTCCTGCCTCTTTCCTAAGTCCTCTTGCAACTCTTCAGGGTCCTGAAAGATCTGTAGGTCTATAGAACTTGCTAGCGCAAGTTAGGAAGGATATTAATAAACAATATACCCTCTCCTGCCTCCCTGAACATTCCCACACAAAGCATGTGTTTTGCCACTAAGCTACCGTCGCTCCCCAGTTTTCCTTTATGAGATCCTGAATGAATTGGTCCAAAGCCCTTCGTGCGTTCGATCTGTTTCCCTCTTGGCCCTGCACCTCCCGTCACTCTGAAAAAGAAAGCAAGGCCTGGATGCGTTCAATGGTTTGTTCTTCCAGATATCTGTATGTACAACACTCCTGTCGCTTCTCTTGTTTGAGCTTGTGAAACAGGGACACCGGTTGATGTCAGCAGAGGAAGCAATTAGGAGCTGCTTTCCCTTTTGAAGTTGTGGATAAAAGCGACCTGGGCGTGTTCCAACCGTCGGAAGTGGAGCGCCACACGCAGAGGGAAATGGGGAGATTAAAACATTTCTGAGGACGGTTGGAAATTTTGAAGCACGCTGCACCGCTTTGAAATTAAAAGGCACATCAAGCAGTTGGTCCCTTACCTTTAGAGAACGCGGGTGGCGCTGTGGGTTAAAGCCTCAGCACCTAGGACTTGCCGATCAAAAGGTCGGCGGTTCGAATCCCCGCGGCGGGGTGCGCTCCTGTCGTTCAGTCCCAGCGCCTGCCAACCTAGCAGTTCGAAAGCACCCCTAAGTGCAAGTAGATAAATAGGGACCGCTCCAGTGGGAAGGTAAACGGCGTTCCGTGTGCTGCGCTGGCTCGCCAGATGCAGCTTGTCACGCTGGCCACGTGACCTGGAAGTGTCTTCGGACAGCGCTGGCTCCCGGCTTTTAGAGTGAGATGAGCGCACAACGCTAGAGTCTGCCAAGACTAGCCCGTACGGGCAGGGGTACCTTTACCTTTACCCTTACCTTTCTCGCCCTGATCTGTGATCCATGCGACGGTCACCTCCAGGCTTGGTTATTGTAACTAGCTCTACGTGGGGCTGCCCTTGAAGCTGACCCAGAAACTCCAGTGGGTGCAGAATGCCGCGGCGAGGCTCCTTACGGGGCTTTACCAGCTGCCCTGGCTCCTGGTGGAGCACAGGGTCAGGTTTAAGGTGCTGGTTTTGACCTTTAAAGCCCTATGCGGCTTAGGACCCATGTACCTATGGGACCGCCTCTCCTGGTATGCCCCGCGGAGGACCTTAAGGTCCACAAATGACAACATTTTGGAGGTCCCAAGTCGCAAGGTGGTTAGATTGGTCTCAACTAGGGCCAGGGCCTTTTCAATACTGGCCCCGCCTTGGTGGAACGCTCTGTCACAAGAGATTAGGGCCCTGCAGGACTTGATATCTTTCCACAGGGCCTGCAAGACAGAGCTGTTCCGCCTCGCCTTTGGTTTTGGACTCGGTTTGACCCTTATGTTTCCCTCCCCTTATGGTTTTGATCTATGGGCTACTTTTAAAATGAGGCTGCATTTTAAATTGTATTTTAACCTGTATTGTAAATTGATTTTTCCTCCCTACAGTGGTACCTCAGGTTACATACTCCGCCAACCCAGAAATAGTGCTTCAGGTTAAGAACTTTGCTTCAGGGTGAGAACAGAAATCGTGCTCCGGTAGCACGGCAGCAGCGGGAGGCCCCATTAGCTAAAGTGGTGTTTCAGGTTAAGAACAGTTTCAGGTTAAGAACAGACCTCCAAAACGAATAAAGTACTTATCCCAAGGTACCACTGTATTATGTTTTTATGGAAATTTTACTGGTGTTAGCTGCCCTGAGCCAGGCTCTGGCCACGGAGGGCGGGGTAGAAATAAAATTATTATTATTATTATTATTATTATTATTATTATTATTAGATGTTATGTTACTGGCTACTGAGGAAAGAGCTTGGGAGGCCACAGAATAATATAATAATGCTATTTCAGTGAACTCCACCCAGGACCCACTTTTAACCCAAACAGGCATCTGGGGACCCCTTTTTTCATGGGGGGGAAGTGCTCCTCTTGCGACCCACCTTTGGGGATCAGGCCGTGACACGCTGGCGGGCTCCAACTCACCAGTTAAAGACATGTGCATTCCAGTGCCACCCACAAGCAGGGTGGATTTGATTTAAATCAAATCGATTTAAATCACAATTTAAATCACTAGTCTGTAAGACTTGATTTAAATCGTGTTTTTTTTACAGAAAAACTAATTCTTGCCAGAATAATCTTAATACAGTGGTATCTCGGGTTAAGAACTTAATTCGTTCTGGAGGTCCGTTCTTAACCTGAAACTGTTCTTAACCTGAAGCACCACTTTAGCTAATGGGGCCTCCTGCTGCTGCTGCGCCGCCGGAGCACGATTTCTGTTCTCATCCTGGAGCAAAATCCTTAACCCGAGGTACTATTTCTAGGTTAGCGGAGTATGTAACCTGAAGCATCTGCAACCTGAAGCGTATGTAACCCAAGGTACCACTGTATTTACAACCAGGTGAAGGTTTCATTTTTGGAATAACAAATTTTCAGAGTAGTTTTTACCGTTATATCAAACATTACTGATTTGGTTATACTATAAGAAATACATTGACAAATAATTATGAAATTATTGTGAGGTTTAATAAGTTAACTGTTTATATTTGGACAGCTTTTCTGCTGTACTTTATTGGAAGGAGAAAAACAATAGTTTCCTTAATAACGATTTAAACAATTTATTTAACTAAAACAATAACATTATAGCATCCATGATAGAATCTGTTTGTTAACTGATGTGGTTAAATGAGTTTTTTTTAAAAAAACAACAACACACACCTTATACTGAGTTCTACCACGCATGAAAAACTTAAATCCTTATTTCCTGATGAATAGCCTTTGGACTATAATGTAACTTAAATAGAAAACTATCTTTAGAAAGATTTTCCCTCCAAAAGCATTTTATTTTAAAAATCCAATTTAAATAAAAAAAGCCGATTTAAATAAAAAAATCCAATTCCAACAAAAATTTTTTTTTGATATATATATTTTTTAATCATTGCTTTTTATCCACCCTGTCCACAAGCATGGGCTAAAAGGCAGGAAAGCCACTTTCCTTGCCCCCCAGCTCTCCAGCTATGACATGTGATTAAAACAAACAGCCGTCTTGTGCAAAAGAATCTGGGGGAACTCTTTTTTGCGTAATATCCTCTTGGGCAGCAGAGGGCAGTGACACACCAACCATCAACACAACGGCAAGGTAGGGCAGAGAAGGGATGGAGCTGAAGTCTGCTTTGTCTTCCTGCTATTAATATGAGGATGGGTATAGGGATGCTTGCTGATGCCTGTTACATTTATTACCCACCCGTCCCTAGCAGGTCCCGATTAAGTGGTGTACAAATTTTTATTGATTAATAAATGAATTCCTTACAGACATTTCCTTGCAGTGTCTGGAGATAGACAGTTGCCAGAGGAGGAAGTGCCGAGAGAAGAAACACCATAATAATATCCCCTATGCAATTATTATTATTATTATTATTATTATTATTATTATTAATACCCTGCCCATCTGGCTGGATTTCCTCAGCCACTCTGGGCTGCTCCCAACAGAACTAAAAGCACAATAGAACATCAAACATTAACAACTTCCCTAAACAGGGCTGCCTTCAGATAACAACAACAACAACAACAACAACAACAACAACAATAATTTACTATTTATACCCTGCCCATCTGGCCGGGTTTCCCCAGCCACTCTGGGCGGCTTCCAACACAATATTAAAATACAATAATGCATCAAACATTAAAAGCTTCCCTAAACGGGGCTGCCTTCACATGTCTTCTAAAAGTCAGATAGTTGTTTATTTCCTTGACATCTGATGGGAGGGCATTCCACAGGGCGGGCGCCACCACCGAGAAGGCCTGGTTGCATCTGCAGCAGTACAACCAGACACCACCATCTGCCCCAGCTGTAACAAAATTGGGTGTGTGTGTGTGTCTCCAAACAATTCTCAGCGCTGTTAACAAACTACAATTCCCATGATTCTTTGGGGCAAGCTATGACTGTTAATGTGGTCTTGTAGTGCTTTAAATATGTGGTACGGATGTGGCCTAATGGAGCTGGCTGGAGATCAAGGCTGCACACAAATAATAAATTTAAAGAACACCCCGCCAAGAATCCTGGGAACTGTAGATGCAATTCCCAGCACCCTTAGCAAACTACATCTGCCAGGATTCTTGGCATAGCTATCAACCGTGGGAAACTCCCTTATCCCAGCACCGTGTCCCGCTGCTGTCCCTTATTGATGATGTTCCTTAAATTTCCCGGGTTTCATGCTCGCCCGGCTCGGGAGGGAAGCAGCGGCTTGGGGTTCTCCGCCACGAGAGAGAGCGCGTGCACGAGCTGCCGCGTCTCCGTCTCTCCCTTTTCCCCCTCAGGGGCGCGTCGTGAGGAGACGGGTGGCGGCGGGCAGGCGGGCAGCCCCTCTCTCGCGAGACTTCTGCCTTACTGCCAGGGGAAGCCAGAGGCGACAGCGGCTGAGGAGGCGGCCTGAGGGAGGATGAAGTGGAGGGGATGGGGAGGGACGCTTCAGTGGTCGCCACGGCGCCACAACTACCTCATGCCGGGCTCGCGGGTGGTGTGGGCGAGAGTCTCTCTCCCTTCCCCCCTCTCTCTCGGGCGGGGAAGGGCCTATGAAACTCCTCGCGCCAGGACGACAGCAGCCCCGACATGCTGCTTAGCATACCCTCCAACCAGTGCAGCATCTTAATGTAGTGATTTCCCCCTCTGCATCCCTTTCATAACTCTGCTTTTGTAAATCATTTGTCCATCCATAGTTCAAATTTTTACTACAAGTTTTCTGTCAATCCTACCAATGTATGTAACTCTTTACAATAGCTTGTCAACTAAATTATAAACTTCCCCCATTCTTTATTATTCTGCACTTGCAAGGGATATTCTCCTGATGTTAACGGATGGTG